TTTACCTTTAAATGTTTAGTACTCGTGTGTTAAGTACAGTGTTGAAATACGAGTCATTGACAACGTAATGAATTCATTTTAATTCTTCTCGTCAAAAACGTCCCACAGATGACAGTTTGTAAGATACGGTTCCCAGTAAATCGCCGAATTCAATCATTGCTGACAGCGGTCAGTGTGGAGGTGAGTGACCACTTTGAACAGCCTGCGAAGGGACCTAGGATATACGGTATTGATCCTCATTAAACTGTTCGATTATAAAGAGCTCAACGTGCTTCTCGTTGGGCTACCAAAGCCGGGAAGCCTACCCCTCTGCTGAGGATCAAAATTGTGATTGCAAATCCTCCTCGGGAAAGTTTCTCAGACCATCGCCAATAGCTCATTATGCTCAGATCTAGCACGACATAAATTAAGTTCTATTACTACTACTACTGGTATCTAAAACTTGTTATCTGATGCAGTGGCGGTAATAGATTATTAATACACGCTCTATTTGGATCTAAAATTGCACTGCAGTAATACAAAAGCAACTAATTCGGTACTTTACAGAAGAAAGTTAGCACTTAATTTTAACATATATTGTAATGTGCCACCTGCTTCATGATGAGAAAAGAGCCTCTTCTTTCGTGAAAGCACTTTTCTCATCATTGCAAAACATTAAGCTCAGCGGCAGATGTAGTTGCTTATAAAAATATTTATTTTCTTGCAAAAAAAAAAAAAGCTTCGATCTTTTGTTAGGAGCTTCTAAAATCCTCACTTTTTTCTATCCAATATATTATGTTTTTATTTATTTATTTAGAGAAAACTTGTCCTCTACAATTATTACTTAAACTAAGTTGAGGATATGTGGGCTTATTTTGACCCAAATAATCAATTTTACCACCTACTCCCGTCAATTGATTACCTCTCACTATTCATTACTATTTTATATAAGCTGAAGCTGATTTAATAAAAGAAAACGGAATGATAAGTGAAATAAAGAAGATTGAGCGATTTTCCTAATACCTGTCGTTATATAAAAGATAAAATTCTTGAAAGATTTGGAAAGTGGTCCATCAATCATTCACTAGGTTAAGAAGTCCAAAACGTGCTTACCATATTAATAAGTTTATTTTTTTCAAGTTCAACATAATGATTTCAATTTAGCTAAATTAAAATATATCATACCATTTTATTGTATCAAATGCTAATTAATCACTTTAATTTTTTCGTTAATTTTTCTTTTTAAATTGATTAGTTTTAAAAGATTTTTTTCTCTTATAATAGAAATTTTTTCTCTTATAAGTATTAAGTTTTAAGAACTTTTCACGTGTTATGCATTTGCGAGTAGTAATTTAATTTAATGACTCCATGTTTTCATAACGTTTTCAGGAATTTTTATCTAATGCGTTCGGAAAAAATTTGCGAGATAACATATTAAAATTCCAATCACTTATTATTTTTTCTTTAAATTACAAAAAATTGAGAATTCTGTTTTTTTTTTTTTTAAACTATTTTTTTTTTAATGAAATGAAAGTTACAATATTTTAACAGCAAATAATCTACATTATTTCTATTATTATAGGATTAATTATAGAATTATGATATCCTTACTAAAGGTTTTTATGATGCAAGGTAATTTCTATTGTTGTGAAATGTTACAAAATTCGACTTTAATATTTAGCTTATTCTAATTTAACAAATCAAGTAACCAATTCTGTTGCGCTGACGGAAAAGTTGAATTATAACAAATATCTTAAGAAATTTGCGAATCAATATTTATGTTATTAACTATTGTAGTTAATTGAATACTAATAATTTTCTTTTAATTACTACGGCACAATTTTTTTGTTTTTACATTTTCGTTAATCTCAATATTGCATTCTATATTTACGTAATTAAAAAAAATATTACCTGCATACGATGAAAAAATTATTAGTAGGATGCTTATTTCATCTTCCTTTATCATTCTGTGATTTTTATCTTCTAACGTGATCTTTCTAGAAAATCACGGGGATGTGATCTTCAAAATAAGTCAGTCCTCTATTAATCAAAAATACTTAACGTTGTAATTTTCTAAATGACGCATATTTAGAAGCCTTTACAAATATTCGTTAAAGAAAAGTACTAGAGCAGTTTTGTTTGATCACTCGCTAATTAACCTTTAATGTACTTGTAATTTTAGATAAAACGTAATTTATCATATACCCTCGTGATGTTATCAAGCAATAAATTTCTATGTGATTTGTTTTATTAAATATTATAGTTGATTGAATATTTGTAATTTATGTTTTGATTACTACTAAGGCATAATTTAAACGTTTTTATTTTTATTCTTAATTTAATCTTTATAATGCATTTTATGCTTACATAATTAAGAAAGAAATATCAACATAATGTGAAGAAAATCCTCCGTAGGATACTGGTTTCATATTCCATCATCATAATGATGATTCTGTGATTTTTATCTTCTAAAACGATCATTATACAAAATCACAGGGATGTGATCCTCCATTAATCGGAAGAAGTTGAACGGAAAGGCTTAGCGTTGTAATTTTCTAAATGACGCAATTTAGAAGCCTTAACAAATATGCGTTAAGGAAAAGTACTCGAACAATTTTGTTTGATCACTAGCTAATTATCCTTTAATATACTTGTAATTTTAGATATAACATAATTTATCATATACTCTTGTGATGTTATCAAACAATCAATTTCAATGTGATATGTTTTATTAAATATTATAGTTGATTGAATATTTATAATTTATGTTTTGATTACTACTACTAGGGCATAATTTAAACGCTTTTGTTTTTATTTTTTAATGAATCTTAATATTACATTTTATGCTTACATAATTAAAAAGAAATATCGGCGTAATGTGATAAAATCATCGGTAGGATGCTGATTTCATCTTCCATCACCATAAGAGTCATTCCGTGATTTTTATCTTCTAACATGACCATTCTACAAAATCACAGGGATGTGATCTTATGCCGCATTTCAGAAGCCTTAACATATATTGTGCGTTAAAGAAAAGTACTGGAACAATTTTGTTTGATCACTCGCTAAGTAACCTTTAATATGCTTGCAATTTTAGATAAAACGATATTTTAGATTTTAAAAAAACAATTATCATATACTCTCGTGATGTTATCAAACAATCATTTCATGTGATTCATTTTATTAAATATTATAGTTGATTGAATATTTGTAATTTAATTTTTTGATTACTACTAAGACATAATTTAAACGTTTTTGTTTTTAAATTCATCTTAATATTGCATTTTATACTTACATATTTAAAAAGAAATATTGGCGTAATGTGATAAAATCATCAGTAGGATGCTGTTTTCATCTTCCATCATCATAAGAGTCATTCCGTGATTTTTATCTTCTAAAATGACCATTCTACAAAATGACAGGGATGTGATCTTTGGCAGAAATCGAACAGAAATGCTTAGCACTGTATTTTTCTTATAACCCATTTCAGAAACCTTAACATATATTATGCGTTAAAGGAAAGTACTAGAACAGTTTTCACTCGCTAATTAACCTTTAAATATACCTGTAATTTTAGATAAGACGTAATTTATCATATACTCTCGTGATGTTATCAAACAATCAATTTCTAAGTGATTCGTTTTATTAAATATTATAGTTGATTGAATATCTGTAATTTATGTTTTGATTACTACTACTAGGGTATTATTTAAACGTTTTTGTTTTTTAATGAATCTTAATATTACATTTTATGCTTACATAATTAAAAAGAAATATCGGCTTAATGTGTTAAAATCATCGGTAGTATGCTGATTTCATCTTCCATCATCATAAGAGTCATTCCGTGATTTTTATCTTCTAAAATGACCATTCTACAAAATCACAGGGATGTGATCTTATGCCGCATTTCAGAAGCCTTAACATATATTGTGCGTTAAAGAAAAGTTCTGAAACAGTTTTGTTTGATCACTCGCTAATTAACCTTTAATATACTTTTAATTTTAGATAAGACGTAATTTATCAGATACTCTCGTGATGTTATCAAACAATCAATTTCTATGTGATTCATTTTATTAAATATTATAGTTGATTGAATATTTGTAATTTATGTTTTGATTACAACTAAGGAATAATTTAAACGTTTTTATTTTTAAATTAATCTTAATATTACATTTTATACTTACATAATTAAAAAGAAATATTGACCCATTTCAGAAGCCTTAACAAATATTACGAGTTCTTAAAGTTCTAGAACAATTTTGTTCGATCGTTCTTTAATTAATCTCAAATATAGTTATAATTTTAGATTAAACATAATTTATTATCTACTCTCGTGATGTTATCAAATAGCATAGAACTTATTTCTTTTTTCTACCGTAACGAATTCTCGTTAAATGTTGTCAAATTTTTAATTATCAGCATCTAAATTTATCGTTATTGCTCTCCCGTTGATATGAGTGATCGTTAATCTCATCCGTTTTTGTTTACCTCAAAATATATTTCCTCACTCACGTGAGTTTCGATACATTTTCCGGTTTTTCTTTTACAATTCGAAACAAATCTCTGATAAAAACATCTTTTTATGATAAACACACTTATATATTTTTTTAGCATTGTCGGTCGATGTTTTTAGCATTGTCGGTCGATGTTTAGGTTGATTTCGGTCTATTTGTCTGTTACCTACAGATGTTTTCATCATCTGTGTTCACTATCTTGTAAGTGCATCTGTTCATACACACCTGTCTTTAAAAGGGCAATGCAAATCTGCTCATGCTCTGTTCATATCTGTTCATCAGCATTCATGTACAGATTTAGTTTTTTTTTGTTATTGTTCTCTACTTTGATTGTTGTTTATGTGTCGTATTTTTACTTTTAATGGTATTTCAATGGATTGTACTTGCACCCCAGGTTTTTTTATTTAACTATTAAAATAAATTGTGAAGTTTTTATGCTTTTTGAATTTGTTAAATTGATATATATTTTTTAAAAATTTATGTTTGAAACTGAATTTTATTTTTCAGATAATCGGGAACAGCATAGAGAAGAATTGCATAAAGGTATTAATTAATTTTCTTGCAATATTAAAAATTTGACATATTTATTTTTGTAAATATTCTTTTGGAATTAATTAAACCATATATTTCATTTTCGCGTCGTAAATTGTAAAGTAATCCCAATTAACCAGATAATTTCACCCGCTTTTACAAAGTTTATCAATATAATAGCCAAAAAATTTCTGAGTAAAATTTGTCTTTAGTTTCTATTTTTGTCTTAATTTAAATTTTGGAATTTTGCAGTTGGCACCTGAAAAATTTCAAATTTTACATGTTTTTCTTTTGTTCAAGTTTAGGTTCTAATATTTTGCATTACCTGTTTTAAAATAAGAAATAATGCTTTTATTTAATTTTCTTTTATAAATATAAGTTTTTTTTTCTCGATTTTATTTTAGTTTGATAATTTAACTTCAATACACAAAATCGAAGTACATTCAATGTTTTTTTATGGTATTTTTTTCTCTATAAAAAATAAGTTAAGTCTCATACCTCTTAAAAGTATTCATTAATATTAAATTTTTTATTGTCTCATTTCGTACTAAATATGTGATACAAAAGGATGGTTTCATAATTATGAACTCAATTTTTTCAGACTTGACATGCACATAACGCTGTTAAAGAAAAGTGAAGTTGTTTAAAAAAATTTATGTTGAAATAATTCCTTTATTTGCACTTATTACAATTTTTACTAACTGATATGAATAAAATTTTTTTTTCAGGAATTAAAAACTAGCTGTCATATATATAATTCATTGTATTTCATTTTTATAACTCATTGTATTACGCCCGTAGCAGTCGATTTCTAAAATGTAATTTTTTTTTTAATTTAATTTTGATGAAATTTTAGTGAATGTAAATAGCACTAACAGTTATTTATAATAATTTTTCTAGAACTACTTGATTTTTTTCTTTAAAGTTATTTTTTCATTTTAATAATCTGCATAGCAACCGCTTATAATTATATAATTATGGGATTGCCCCGAATTAAAGATGCCCTTTTAATTTTTCAAGTTAAACTAAAGTTGACAAATAAAAAAGTTTTTAACTATTATTATGTTATATATAACTGTATCTTACAAAGCTGAATTATATTTTATTCTTTTAATTAAAATGTAAGTTTAACGAATGTTGTAGTATTTAAGCTTCATTATCACAACATCACAATAATTGGAGACATTTATCTATAAAATATTTAATTTGAATGCTGATGCATGTTGTAATAATAATTATTTATGTTCCTTAAATTTTAGATCGATTTTTCGATGTTCCTTTTATATCTTAAAAAAATAGTTTAGTTTGTAGTTAATACAAATATGATTTTTTTTCCAGCTTTGTGGGATGCTTGCAGTAGAGGTGAGGTGAATAAGGCAAGGCAATTAATTAAGCAATTGGGTCGAGAAACAGAGCTCATAATCAACAGTACGCCAAATGGATGCAGCACCTTATTGTTTAAGTAAGTATAATTGAATCTTGTAAGTTTATATTACAGTACAGAACCCGTTATCCGGAAATCAGAAAACCGGAACGAAATTCGATAAAATTTCCCCGCCATTTTTAAAAAAAAATTTTTTTTTCATCATAAGATATTAGGATTTTTCTTTCTTTTTTGAAAGATGTTTACCTTACCATCATTTTGAAGATAATCATTAGTGTATTACTTCATCGTTTTTTTTCTTTTTAAGATTATTTCCAAATATTTTTTTTTTTTAGTTGGGTTTAACAATAAAAAAACGGCTTTTTGTAGCGATTCAGAAAACCGGAAAAATCAGTTATCCGGAATAGCGATGGTCCCGATCGTTCCGGATAATCAGTTCCCTACTATTATTATGCATGTAAGGGCAGACTCCATTCAGATGTTTTTATCCTATATTAGTCTCATATAACTTGGCGAATCTGTTTTTGATGGTCAAATGTTTTGTTTAAGTATATTTTCAATTTTTAAGGGTCATACTTCGATTTTTCATTCTTAATCTGCCACTTTTTGAAAACTTTTCTATCAGTTTTGTTCAAATTTTGCCGTTTAAAATTGCTTAGTCTTAAAGAATTCGTTGAAAGTTAATTTTACTTTAAAGTGCTCAAACCTCTGACTTTTTTCTTGTTTAAAATATTTTAACAATATTTTCCAAATTAAGTTTACAGCTTATATTTTATGGATTAAAAATATGGATTTTTTTTCAAAGGTTTGTTTATTCAGAGAAAGTGAATATTAGTGTCTGATTTTGTAACTTAAAATGTCATCTGTTCTAACTAATTAGGATATTCAAGGTATCTTTCAATCATTAAGATTGCATGTAAAGCAGATGGAAATCTACCTTTTATATTAAAAGTTAGTTAAATGTTCTGTTTTTTTTTGTGCACTCTACATACATTTAGTTAAAAAGTGCTAATTTTTTGTCGAAAAAGTAACATTTATTATTATTTAGGTTAATAATTCTTATTTTTATTATTACTAAAAAATTTTATGTAGTATGCTTTTATTATTGATCAATAATATTTTTTATGAACTGCATGAGGATTGTTCCAAAATTGAAAAGAAAAAAAATCACTTTAACTATGATAGGGTGCTCCATTCTAATATTAAATACTTTCGTTTTGAATTAGTTTATATTTAAGTGTATTCTACTGAGGTAAATTATTAGAATGTGCTGATAATGAATTAAGCATGTAGGTTAGAATATATACTTCATGTTAACATAAAAGCAGAGTTGGCCGTTGATTACAGTAATCGATTACAACTGTANTTTTTTTTTTTTAATTAGGGCTTGTGAAGAAGGTCAAAAAGAAATTGTAAAATTGCTTCTTGAAAATGGTGCTGATGGCAGGATTCATCCAATAACTAAATATTCGCCTCTGTACATTGCTTGTTACTATGGAAGGAAAGATATCACGGAAATTATAATCAAAGTAAGAGAAACAATTAATGTTAGTTATGTTAAAGAATCATTTATTGATTTTATTTACTATTTTTGGTGCTCAATTTTTTAGTTATTAAAGTTTAAACAGTAAAAAAGTTTTAACTAGAGGGTCACAAATAAACTACAATGAATATTAATAATAAGCAGTATAATACCAATTATAAAATAGAAAAATATATTATTCAGCATTATTGAAGTGGAGGGTCGGACATAGGTTTTATGGTCTGGGTCAAATGTCATTGCAAATCACTATCTTAATGTGTAAACTCTTTGAAGATATGAATTATAGAATTAAAATTTAATTTTATTTATATCATCAGGCTCCTTGCTCATTTTTTGCACACCTTTGTAATTTTAAATTTTTACTAGTTTTGAGCAAAAAAAAGAACATAAAGTTACACTACCTAACACTGCTGTGACAGCAGCATTTACAATTTTTTAAGTATAGCGTGATATTAAAATATTAATTTCTGTTTTTCTTATTAGTCAAATGACTACATGTTCTGAATGTAAAGTAATCTTTTGCTAAAACTGTTGAACATTACCAATTATAAATATTTTTTTTATGTAAGAAAAACAATTGTCTGCAGGATGACACCTTTCGCTAGGGATTTCTATCAGACCTTTAACTCTTCTTGGCTCCAGGTCAATTATTTCTGTATTCGCCCTATTAAATATATCCTTGTGTAGCTGGCATATATTGATATAGAAATTATGAAGCTCTAATGTAATTTTTTATTACTTAAGCTATGGTATTTTGCTAGAAAAAATTTAATATAAATTTGAGGACGTTAGCTGAGAAAGGTTATGAAAATAAAATAAATAGTGATTAAAAATGTTTAAAATAAAGAGGCTACCATAAATGATCATCTGTTCTTTTAGCAATCCTATTATTTAAATAAGCAATAATAAATTCATTTCGTTAAATAAGTAGAAAGACCACATTAATAAGTTTTTTATTTTATTTTAAACATAAACAATATTTGTTTTTAATAAAATATATTTTTTGTGCTTAAAATTTAAATTACAATTTTTTTTCCAGAAATTTCCTGAATTAGTTGTGGTCACTACTGTCGAAAAATGGCTTCCGATTCATGCTGCTGTGATTAATGGTCATTTGCAGGTTTTAGATCTCCTTCTAAAATATCCATATGAGTCTTCTGTGCTTCAAAGATACGTGGATAAAACACAAAAATGGGAGTATTTTTTCCCATTTGATATCAACGCAAAAGATGTCACAGAACAAACAGTTCTGTATGTAGCCTGCCTTGTCGGGAATCAAAGAATTGTCGATCTTCTTTTGAAATTTAAAGTGCCGGCAAAGAGGATTAAAAAGGAAGATGGATCTGATGATGAAAGAAAAGATGATGAACACAGGTCAGGATCAAACATAAGCCCCACTAAAAAACGTTTGTCAACTGGCATCCAAAGTGTGATATCGAAACTTAGTTTAAGAAATAACACTGATAAAGAGGAAGAACATTCCGAAACTGAAATTTCTCCCTTAGACCTAGATCTTTATTGTAATAATAACACTGAAACTGCTTTACATATAGCCATTAAAAAGAAATACCACAGTATAGTTCAACTTTTACTTCAAAATTCAGCCAATCCAAATCTTAGTATTAAACAGTCTACTGAAGAACTGAATCGAGCAAATGATAATTCGGGCTCTTCTTCAACTGCTCTTGTAGAAGCCTGTAAAAATCGTGATGTGAATATGGTGGATTGTCTCGTAAGATATGGTGCAAGAGACGACCAGTGTAAAGCTCTGAAAGTTGCCACTGCCAACAAAGATGAACATATTGCTTCTAAGCTATTAACATTAAAAGCATATCAAGATCCTGAGTTTAAAATTAATAAGAAAGCTCTTGAAATAGTACCATCAACTCATCTGGGTGGGTTGTTGGGAAGTGTGACATTTAGCTCTATGTTTCCAACCACTCCTGTTATGATTAACTGGCATGGCCAAAAATGTTTGCACTACATAAAAGAGGAGTGGTTATTAAATGCAAGCATGGCTCACAACGTCAAGTTAAAGCTTACTGCCAGAAATCAGAGTAGTGCTCTAATGGCTATCACACGTCTTGACATATCCAACAATCAACTGACAGAACTTCCTTTGTGTATATTTCAAATGGCATCTTTGAGACATTTTAATGCAGCTAATAATAAAATATTTAAACTTCCTGAAGCTGATAAAAATGATAAAACATCATCTTCATCCCCTAAAACAAAACGTGATATTCATTCATTAAACCAATCAGGGTGGTGTTGCCCTGTTCTGGAAGAAATTCATTTACATGACAATAGGCTGGATTGTGTACCAGCTTGTCTTTTTACACTACCCTCGCTAACAGTTCTTGATTTATCGAACAATAAGCTTCAGTCTTTACCTTTTAAAATGTGGTTTGCTCCCAAGTTAAGAGAATTGAATCTTTCATTGAACATGTTGCACGATTTGCCTTCTAAACCTCCACCAGTTCGCTCTATATCTGCCTCTCGTCTTACTCCAAGTATTTCAGAAGATCAAGTGAATTCCACTGAATCTAGTCCTCGTCATTCCACTGTTGAATCGTTTGAAAGCTCTGGTGATATTCCAAATTTACTGTCTCCTGTCTTTGAACCTGAGAGAAGATTTAAAGTAGATGGTGATCTCAGACAACAAGAGTTGTTGCACCATAACTTTTGGAGCTCCTCTATAAAGGTATGGTAACAGTCTAACTCATCCACCTATGAGTGTCATTCAATTTGTTTCTTTGTATAACAGTCTATCTTCTAAGGAAACAGTCTGTAACTAAGATATGCTAATTTCTTATTGAAGATGATAATTTAAATTCAACTAAATAAACTTCTACTTTCTCTGAATAAGTTTATCTTTCGTTATAAGTAATTTAGATTTTGATCCATTAATTGCAATCTGAAGTAAATTTTGGAAAGCTACTTTTTGAAAGTTGTGGTCAGAATCACTAACTGAAATCTGTATTTACCCAATGATAATTTTATGTACGAAATAACTTTCAATAATTATTTTCATTATTTTATTTATGATTTAAAAAAATTGTAGATTGTTAGGTATATTTTTTTTTACATCTTCTTTGATAATATAATTTTGAATTCAAAAATCTCAGGTGAATGACTCTGGATGGAAGAAAAATTAAGTCTTTATGTTTTAAAAACTATTTAGCCAATTTTATCCATACTTTAAATGAAGTTAGAGCAAATTCAGTTCAAATTTTAATTGAAATTGTCCTTTTAAATTATATAATTTAAGAGATGTAAAAATTTTTGTATCTTGCAATCCTAACTTTTGATTAGTCTTCTGACCTGAGATTGACCTGAGACCCATAAAATCTAATTCAATTGAAAAAAATAGTGAAGTTTATTCGGAATAAGTATGTCCTTAGAACAAATTTTTTAACTTAAATTATTGCCTGCACTAATAAGTTACACTAATTAATAAGCTACAAAAATTACAATTTTGTGTATAAGATCACTTTGTCATAAGATCATTTAGTACATAAAATCATCTTGTCAGCAGTTACTCTGGCTGTAATACTTTTATTTTGCGTACTGTGCATAAATTAAAATTTTTATATATTTTAACAGTGTATAAATTAAAATTTTTAAAAATATTTTCCTTATAGATTATTAAAACTGATTCTTCACACATTTTATAATTAATAATATTGGGTTATAGCAGTAGTATAAATTTGATTATTTTATTCTTATAAATTTTTTCAAATTTTTAGATTGTAGAATCTTCAAATGGAAATGAAACTGGTAAAAACCAAAAGTGCCAACTGGCAGCTCTTAATCTAGCCCACAACGCTTATGAAACAATCCCTCCCATACTATCCTGTTTTGCTGTAAACTTGGCTAGATTGAACATGAGTTATAATCGACTTACGGAAATGGGACCTGTTAGTAGTTATCCAGCTTGTCTTAAGCATTTAGATCTTAGCCACAACAGAATTAAAACCTGGTTAACCACTCGAAGAATTGATCCTGATCTCAACACTGAAAGTAGTTCATGTTATAGTCAAACTGAATCTATGAGTGCAAAAATGAAGCCATCAAGTACTTCATCTTCTGGTAGAGTGATTTATTTATTTATTTCTATTTAGAAAGTGTATTTATTTATTTTTTGTTTTGTTTTTTACTTATGCTCAAAATAGGAAATTTATAACATTTATCATAAAACCAAATTGGCTATTTTTTACTCTCTTTGAAACTTAAGAAAGCCAAAAAATTTGTTATAATGACTGTAATGAGGTGTTTATTTTAAGATTTATTCTGCAATGTTTATAGCCTTGCTAAATCTATAATTATGCTATCATATTATTCACATATTCAATTATAAATTATTTATGTTGTCTAAAAAAAGTTGATGAATTATAAAATCACTAATTGTTACCACCTGGGAGCAAAACTGAACAACGGTTTTCCGGTTTCCCGGACAAAATTTATTGCTAGCCTTTTCCTTAAAGCACAAAACCCTTATTTTAATATTTTTTAGAATTTAAGACCCTTTATATAAATTTTTAATTTTGATATAAATATCACGAAATTTTTGCAATTTTCTTTTTTTAAAAAGACTAATTAATAAATACTATATTTTTTGAAAAAATTTTGGTTGGGCCCACAGCAGTCCCAGGCCCTGGGATAATTGTACTTCTCCCCCCTCCCCTGAGCATGGCTTTGTCTAGGAGAATCAACAAATTTATGTGTAATGTTGGGATCCAAATTTATGTGAGAGTCGATAATAAAAAAAGTATGTAATATAATAATTTATTTTAGTATTAAATAAATTAAAGTTTAAATATTTTAAGGGTTTATGTCTGTTTGATTATAAGATTTAAATTTTGAAGATAATCTATTTATTATAAATATAAGAATTTTAATAACTTTTGATACAGATATACTTGTATACTACATCTATTGAATCCCATTGTACTTTATATACTTGTTATATCTTGAACTTCACAAGCTTATGAAGCTTCTACTTGTAATATATTTGCTAACTTTTTTTTAAACAATCCTATACAGTTTAGTTTTTCAAAGGTACCTATTTTGAGACGTGCTTTTCCTGATTCTGTTTTTATTTAATTTAGATTAATTCAGCAGCTTATTCTGCCACTTAATTTTCTTTATAATTCAAGGAATTCTGTTAAATTCATGTTTAAAAAAATATTACAGTAGGGAACCGATTATCCGGAACGGTCGGGACCATCGCTATTCCGGATAACTGATTTTTCCGGTTTTCTGAATCGCTACAAAAAGCCGTTTTTTTTATTGTTAAACCCAACTAAAAAAAAAAATTTGGAAATAATCTTGAAAATAAGAAAAAAACGATGAAGTAATACACTAATGATTATTTCCAAAATGATGGTAAGGTAAACATCTTTAAAAAAAGAAAGAAAAATCGTGAAATCTTATGAGGAAAAAAAATTTTTTTTTTAAAAATGGCGAGAAAATTTATCGAATTTCGTTCTGGTTTTTTGGTTTTCCGGTTTTCTGATTTCCGGATAACGAGTTCTGTACTGTAGTAGTAAGTATATAAAATTTTGCTTATAAACAAGATTTAAGGATCAGTTTATGACTAATGCATAATGCATTTTTATGTTCTATTTCAAATTTATATGGGAATTTGTTCTGTTAGTTTTTAACCATTTAAGTTTTTTTATGATGTCACAAAATATTTGATAAATAATTAATTTTTATTTTCTAATAATTGATTTTTTTATAAAAATTTTAAAACTTTTGATTAAATTCAGAAATTTATTATATTTTAAAACTTTATGTGGTAAAAAAATATTTTTCAGTTTATTTTATAAATTTTTTTAAAAAACATTTCTCAAAAAATGTATTCAAATTTAATTTGACCAATATTAATGATGTGAGTTTACATTTACACTATGACAAAGTTAAAAGCTTAAACACAGTCATCAGTATTACAAAGCATGCTTTCTTCAAAGCTTTGAAATTACTGCAATTTTTAGTTATTAGAATAGTCAGTTTTCGAACTATTTGATTTTATTTCTAAATTTCAAAATACCACTCAAGAAATACTGAGACATTTTTAGATTTGAAAAATTTATTAACAAAGCATTTGTTATTTTAAAGTAAAAAGACTTGTGTGAAGCATTATATTTCATTTCACATTCTCTTATATTTAGCAATTTTGTATTTAAAATTTTAGGGCTTCTTTTAAATTTCATTTTAAAATTATGTTTGATATTTAAATGTTATATCAATTAAACTGCAAATAAAGTATGAGTGTCTTGTTATACTTTTTGATTGTTGTGTGAAATTCTATGGCAGGTCGTACACAGTCTCCTTCCTTGCATTCTTGGGGATCAGCTAAATCACTGACTGGCTTAGTGTGTCAACATAGACGCCACAACAGGTTGGATAACTTAAGAACATTAATCTTAGCTGACAACGAGTTGGACCGATTAATATTAATTTTGGACGAAGATGATTTTGAGGAAGAAGACTCAAAGTCATCTGAATCATTTGAAACATTGGACCCTACTGGAAAAGTATGCTCTTTTAAACCTACTCAAAGATAGAAAGTTAAAAACATTAAAGTTTATTTATTGCATCGTTCTGATTACGTTATTTTACTTTTGGTTCAATTGTAATTATAGAAAAACTGCTCTTACTGCTTGGCTTATTAGTGCAATTAATATAATATTGGGTGCTACAAGATTCCACATGAAAAAAATGAATTTGGCACATGTATCATACATGGTGCGAAGCGTTTCTGAAAAGTGCTTAAAGGTACTTATTTTTGATTTTCGTTATTTAAAAGCCCTTAAAGAGCTGCTTTTTACATTGGGGTTTTTTAAAAAGTGCTTAATTTTCCCTTTTCAAAAATCGACATGAAAGCGCCAATCATTTTACATGTCTGATAAAATACTTGCGAGATCGCATGTGCTTCTACTAAGCTGGGTTTGGTGAGAATATTGCACTCTCATGTGCAACTCTACTGCATTTTGCAAGATATTCTCAATTTCAGGCTTTATTTTCCACCCTCTGATATTGAACCAAAAAAATCTCTTGATCATTTTAAAATGGCTAATATAATCAGGAAAAGAGTTCTTTGTCAGAAACTAATTCTTTTATCATGATCATGTAGTCTTTGAAAAATATTTTGTATTTAGTTAATTTATTTTGTACTTAAAAATATTTTTTGAGTGCTTAAAAAGTACTTAAAAGGTGCTTATTTTTTGTTGAAAGACTTGGCTACGCACCCTGATCATAATTGTGAAATTCTCCTCTAGTGTTCGCTTTCATTTTTTTTGGAGGGTGGGTTACTTTAATGAAGTTAAAAATATTAAAATATTTTGTATTTGCTGCATTGAACGGATTTTCTTCTATATCCTAGAAGCTAATTTGTAAAGTAAATATTAAAAGCCAATGATTTGTAAGGTCTTATTGCTATTTCATGAACATACCTATGATTAAAAAAGGTATAATTTATTTTAGCATTCACAAATAATCAGAATAATTGCTATATACTTTATCAGTAAAGCTTAACCCTTTTAGGACACACTTTGACAATTTGAGATGAAAGCAAAAGCTTTTTTTCATTGCTTAAAATAAGGTTATCCTGAATTCAGAACCAAGGTATATCAAGGTCAAAAATAAGGTTATCCTAAACTACCCTCACTATCTTGGATTTCACGCTATTTTTTTAATTTGCGTTTTTTTTTTTATGTTCAGAGAAAAAAAAATATTTATGAAAAATCTAAAAACAGACAAATCTATCTTTGAAAATTGCTGATTACAGAATTGCATTGGTATAATTTTATCAGATAAAATCGAATAATCTGTAGTGCTACTGAACATTTTATTTCTCCAATTTTGATTGGATAATCGCCTTGTATTTTATGTGTTCAAAAGATACTGCCAAACAGAGTAAACGTCCACCATCAATTTATTTGTAAAATTTAAGTAATATTATGAGCCGAAAAGCATAGCATGCAAGGTATCAAACACTGAGCAAAAGTTCCTTGATATGTGATTTCTACTCTTGCAAAACAACTCATAGCCATTTAAAATTTTATTTATTTAAAATTAAGCATACATTTTTGTTTTTGGCTGCAGTTGAGTGAAAAACTTTCATTTCGATTAAATAATCTTTGAAAATGAATTTTGTCGCAATAATGAAATTTCCCATTAAACAAAACTATTTTTAAAGAAAAAAAAGGTTCATGCTATTTAATCATGCTATTATATGTCAGCCTATGTAATAATTGCCTGTGTTATTAATAATTGTAAAAAGTGAAACTTTACAAAAATAAATTCTCATTTATTTTAGTTTTTTAAAAATGTTTTATTTACCAAGTAAGACTGTTCTTTCAACACAAATTTATCATAAAAAATAACACTTTTTAAGCAAATGTAATATGTTGTTTTTATAACTTTTATGGATCTGTAGCTTTTATTAATAACTGTTTGCTTAAGTTAGCTCATCTCTAGCTTATGCCCTCTATGCTTATTATATAAATAGTGCAAAATAATAAATATGAAGAAAATTCACTTTTCTTTAAAATGTGAAAAGCAATTGTGAGCTACTTTTTAAATATTTGAAATGTTAGTTTCAAATGTTGAGTTTCAGTTTTAAATATTTTCTTTTTTTCCCAATAGCTTAAATAATTGATGTATTAAGGAATTGTCTTTTTCCCCAGTTAGGCAAGGAGGTAGCTCCTGTCATTTTGAAAAAGCAAAGACTTCTATCGCATATTTCGTTCTTTACAGGTGTTACAGATGGAAATAAAAAGTAAAATCCTCTTCCCCAACCTTTCCATGCTTGATGTTAGCAACAATAAAATAGATGAAGTTCCTGCTGTGATATCCGAATTCAACAACTTGTCTGTTTTGAATCTTAGTGGCAATGTGGGCATCTGTCATTTGCCTCCTGAAATGGGCTTGCTCGGTAAGCTTTGGAATTTGAATACCAGAATGTGTAATCTCACTGAACCACTAAGAAGCATGATAGATAGTAAAAAATACAAGACCATGGATGTCATAGGCTATTTAAAGTCGATTTTAGAAGAGTAAGTATTTTTTTACCCCATATTTAAAAAGTTTACCATATTTTACTGGTTTTTAATGATTAGTAAGATATTGCTTGTAAAGATGAAAAGGAAAAATGCACACTATGGTGAAATGGAATAGTGCACTTCATTCTTAATGTTCATGATGATAATTAAAAGCAAAATTATCTGTTTGAAAATATCGCCTTATACAATAAGCTGTGCTTCTAAACTAATAAATTTAGATAAACCTATTCCTACTAATTTTTGGATGAACTTGTGGAATGATTCATGTGCACTGTCCAGGTGCTTTATTTTTAATATTTACATCTAATATGCTATTCATTTATTATTTTCAGTGCTAAACCATATGCTCGAATGAAATTAATGATTGTTGGTATTGAAGGGATAGGCAAAACTTCCTTACTGGAGCAATTGAGAATAGAAGGAACTGGAGCCTATCGAAAGAAACCACCTGAGGTATTTTAACAAGTTTTTACTTTCTGTTTATCTGTGTGTTATTATTTCAAATGTATTAATTTCAAATATAAACAGAGTAATTTTAATTGTTTCTTTGCCAAGCACACTTGTCAATACTAAAATTGCATAGCAAGCTTTGAATAGTTACTGATTGAATTTAGGTTCCAATTGTTATTGCAACAAAATAATTTTAAATGGCTAGTCTAATTTGTAATAATTTTATAATTTTTGTAATATATAATTTCAGTTATGAGATACAGGTTTTTTTGCAAAATTTAATATCTATTAAATTTACTGATAATTTCAAAAAATCGGAAATTTTTTTTGATGCATATTATGTTAATTTATTTTAAGAAATTCATACATATTAAATTAAGACCGTTCATAAATGATTTCACTCTTTTTTTTCTCTCCATATTTTTGTTCCCCTCCTCCCCTTTGTCACAAAGTGTCTGACTTCATCCTTCTCCTTACTCTTCTTTTTGTCACATTTCACTCTATGTGACATAAATATATGTGAGCAGTTCAGAAACAAAAACATGTTATAAATCATATTTAAAATTCATTTTTTTAAAACTTTTAACTATCATAATTAAAATTCATTTTTTTAAAACTTTTAACTATCTGTTTTAAGGACATTTGTGAGAATAACAATAATAATGGTTAGATTTGTACTTATATTGATGATAAAGATTAAAAAATTAAAACAACAAATAATATTAGAATATTTTATCTGCCAATTTTAAATATTTTCATTTTATGAAACTGTAGGAATCCTCCCCCTTTAAGTGCAACATCATTTAGCATGGTCCCACAGTGATAATAAAAGATTTGAAATTTTAAATACTAATTATTTTAATTAGAGTAAATAAGCTGTTGGAATATTTCCACAAAAACTTCTTATACATTTCTTTTTTGCACTTACATTGCTTTTCTTAAGCAATAAAGAAAACTCCCTTGAATTATATTGAAAATTCAAACTATTTTGTTACATTATCTTACAGTTTTCAAGATTATTATTATTAAAATGCTAATGATTATTTATTTAAGCATTGGGCCAAGAGGACTGGAAATAAGAATATCAATCTTAAAACCGCCAAAGGTATTAATATATCAACGGTTGGTGTAGATGTTGGGGATTGGATTTATGAAAAGAAGATACGAGGTCAATCAAGCTATGGTCCTGTAGTTTTTAGAACCTGGGACTTTGGAGGACAAGTAAGATTTCTTAGCTGTAATATAAATTGGAATAAATAATAAGTTTATTAATTGTGTTCCATTAAAAACTATATATTTTTTCTATTTTCAGAAAGAATATTATGCTACGCATCAATATTTTCTGTCTAAAAGATCTTTATATCTAGTCACGTGGAGAATTATTGATGGTGAAAGGGGTGTTGATGGCATATTGCAGTGGTTAGTAAATATACAGGTAAGTTAAATATTTACTACTTGTTTTTCATTTACATAAGACACAGAATGTTTAAGGAAAGAGTAAATGAAAATATTTTATTTACTATTTGTTCTCTTAAATATTAATCTTGTAAAATTTCTGTCCTTTATAGGACTTTGCCAATGTAACTGATGTTAAGAAGTGGACGTTTTTTAAATTACCATCTAAAAAGTGATTATTTAAATAATAACAATGAATAATTATGAAACAGTATCAAAAAACAATAATTGGTAATTATAAATAAGAAAACAGTAATGCATAGTTAACTTAAATATTGTTTATTATCTTCCGATTAACATTTAAAAAATTGGTTGTACTCATAGCTACTCTTTTTAAGAGTTTTTTATTACTAATTCGAAATTCTAATTACAATGGTGCTTTCTTTTCAACTTTTTTTTTTTTTTAACCTTTGTTTTTCACTAGTTGTGTTGTGTTTTGTGTATTACAGAAAAAAGTTATTGAGATTTCAGAAATCATATTTAAGTTAGGATATTTTTTTAAAGCTATAAGTTAATTCATGGGAATCTTTTATTTGCAGCTTCTTTGTGTTCATTCTTTTTAAAGTCTTTTTTTTCTTCAAATAATAGCATTATCGCAAGTTGAAGGCATGATAAACAGCTTTTATTGCTTTATTCTCATACTTTTTTATTGAATAAGTCTTTTATTGAATAAGTCACACTACTTTCTTGTATATTGAATAAGAAAGTAGTGAAAGTTTTTGTTATTAAATTATGTTCTGATCATCGTCATATTTCATTCTTAGTAAATAATTAATTCACTAGGAATAACCAATTTCTTTTATTGAAGATATTAAGATTAAAAAAATTAAAGCACTCTTCTAGTAGAAAGCCAGTTTTTGGGGAAGGTGTTCATAAAAGTAACGTCCTCACATTTTTAATTTTAACAGCATAAAAGAGGCAGTGTGGTCAGCACCGACCGCCTTTATTTCCTTGACAAATTCATATCCGTTGATCTAAAGCTAAGTAAGTTTTTAAGCTGCCATCGGAAATAAAACCCCATATCTGATTTCAAAACATTCTCAAAAACTTACTTATAATAATGAGAAGGAATGGCGACTATTTTCACAACTGTAAACTGGTAAATAATTTGAATTATTTTTAATTTTAATGATATTCACTGTATTTTCACAGGCTCGAGCACCTAATGCTCCTGTAATCATCATAGGCACCCATTATGATCTGGTCAAAGAACGTTTCCCTCCCTCCTACTCTGAAGATCTTCAGCAAATGATCAGGGATCGTTTTATCAATGTTGTTGATGCGGACAAATGTGGTCTTCCCAGAGTCATTGATACAATTGAAATCAGTTGTAAAACGAGACATAATATCAAGTTACTTTGCAATCTGATTTATGATACTGTATTTGATCTTAAATGTCCTGGTGAGTGAGTCTAAAGTTAGTTATTTTGTTTTATAGTTTGATCTTTATTTTTTAATTTATTTATAGTTAAAAAAGTTATTAATTCAGAAAACTAACTTTATGCCAGTTATATAAAAGTATAAATAGAAAAAAGAAATTTTATGTTTTTATAATATAATATATGCACAAGGGTGCCGGCAGCGGGGTGCAAGGGGGTGCACTTGCACCCCCCTGCCTTTTTTAAACANGGGGGGTAGTTTGTTAGAGGGTTGCACCCCCTTTTATATTATTCTGCCGGCGCCCTTGTATATGCAGTTGTATATACCCAAGTAGCATATAATGTTAGATGAAAAATCTATCATTATTTTGCACTACTTTCAAATATTAGAAAGATATAAAAGTCTGCTGTTTTCTCTGCATTATGTAACTTATTAAAATAAACTTCTTATTTTAAATAAACTTATTAAATATTCTTATTAAATAAACTATGAAGTTATTGAAAAGTTTTTTTAATATTTAATCTTATTTTAATCGTTGAATTTAATAATCACTTTACTAGTTATATTATCCAGTAAGATCATTGTTTAGTAAAAAATTATTCAAAAAGGCACTTATTCATTTTTATATAGGAAGCAAAGAGAGACTTCTTGAGCAAAAAATACCAGCTACATATTTGGCATTAGAAGATGTTGTTGGTCTTTTAGCAGTTGAGCGTCATGTACAGGGGAAGGATCCAGTACTGCGTGCTGAAAACTACCGGTATATTTTAATTCCTTCTGCAAATTAATTAATTAATTTTTTATTCAAACGAGTCTTTTACCTATATAGATATTTCTAGTATTTGTGATATAAGTTTTTTTTTTTTAAATTATGCTACTATTTTAGGAATATGGTAATGCATGAAATGATGCAGAGATATAACATAGCTTTTCGTGATTTATCAGAATTGAATCAAGCTTCAACTTTCCTTCATGAAAACGGTAAGTAATCATAAATTACATTATCTATTTTATTATAATGGAAGTGAGTTATATTTACATACTTGCCAACATTAAATAAAATAACGGGGGTTTTACTAGCTATATTTTATACGTTTTGAGTATAGTTTTAATACTTCATGCATATTTATGCAAGTCAAAAAGAGAAATTCAAAATTTAAAATAATCTAAGCATTTACATTTATGTAAGATTTATATACATAAGATTTATTTACATAAGATTTATATACATAAAAAATGTGTCTTTAGTCTTCAGGAGTCTTCGTTAAAAAATAGGAGACTTGGCAGGTATGTAAATTAAATAGTTTTTATTTCAAGGGTTTTTACAATATTTATTTAAGGAATTTAAGTTATTTTAAAATTTTCCTCATTAGCATTTCATTTTAGAATTAAATATAATATTTTAAATTTGTACTGAATTTATAAATAATGAACTTGATGTTATTATCAATAAAGATAGCATATAAATTTATTAGTTATTGCTTTTATGTCCTAGGTATATTGCTTCATTATGAAGATGCTACATTAAAAGATCTCTACTTTCTGGATCCGCAGTGGCTATGTGATATGTTAGCTCATGTTGTAACTATAAGAGAAATCAATCCTTTTGCTAGAAATGGTAATGTATATGTTTGGATGAGTTAAGCAATATTTTTCTTTAAAAAAATCAGATATTTTGAAAAAGTGTTCTTTTCAAGAATTATAAATTTTATTAAAAAAAGACTGACCTACTAAAAATAGCTATTGTAAAATAGCTATCACATATTTATTTTTTCAAATGTAAGCATTTTGAGCTATCATGCAAAACTGATTTATATTCTGAAAACACGAAATATGCTTTTTGAATATGTAAAGTTCAATTATCCATGCATAAAAATTGAATTATCACATTAATGTAGAGTAAGAAGTGTTTACTGATATTGTTAAAGTTATTTTTGTATTTATTAGATTTGTTTGCTTTTAATACGTTTGTTTGCTTTAATAATTTAATTAGTTATTTGTACTTAAAATAGTTATATGTATATAGAAAAATTTGATTTCAAGATTGATTTTAGAGCTTATTTTAATTGTTTTTGTCATGTTTGAGTGTCAAATAAGAAATTGAATAATTTTATTCAGTTTTTGAAATATTTTTTTACTCAACAAAAGTTTGTTTTTATATTTTTGAAGAAGAAAACAGCATAATTTGAAGTAAAATACTAGTTTTAAATATTAACCTCTATTTGTAATTAAAAAATTTGCTCAAACTCAATTAATTTTATTTACACAGTCAGTTTTAATTGAAATTGCTCTGAACAACATCTTGAGGTTCAGTTTTATTTTCCAAATTAAATTCCACAATTAAGTGTACTTTTATAAATAGTATTAAATTTTTCTTTATTTTTCATATCTTACAGGTATAATGAAAATTGAAGACTTAAAACATGTGTTTAAATCTTCTCAATTTGCACCATCTGATGCTCAGACTTACATCTTGAATTTGTTAAACAAATTTGAAGTAGCCCTAACATGGGATAATCGAACAATTATTATTCCTTCCCTTCTTCCTTCTGAAGAACAATTGCGAGCTGGATTTCCTGGATGTGATGTTCGAGTAAGTTGCTTTATTTTTAATCATAGTACTTGTATGTACTAAAATGTACATGCGATTCCCACAGACATTATTTTATTTTAATTTTTGAATTTGCTAACTAATGTACTTTTTAGCTGAAGTACAAATAGGACTTAAAATGACTAAAAATTTTATAATTTGTTTTGATAATCTTAATTTGTATTTATTGTTTTCTCTTTAAAGCATTTTTTTTCATTTTTCTAACGCATTAAATTTGTATGCTTTTTTTGCACCATACTATTTTTACTTATTTTAAATTGAACTTATTCCTGATATGTAATTTGTTTAGTTATTAAAATTTTTTTTTCAAGTTTTAATTGCAGGACTAAAAAATCTGAAATTTCTGTAATTTATTTTGATGGTATTTGTTTATGTTCTTAGTTTGATTAATTATTAATTTGAATAATTTAATAGCAAATTTCTGTTTTTCTTCGTCTTTTTCTTTGTTGCTCTAAATTCTCACTTTTTTTTAATCTTAAGTTACTCTTGATTTATAATTTCTTGTTTATTAAGCTTATTTTCTTCTATTTTGTTTTGTGACTAGGAACCAAATATAAAAATAATTTTCACATGTGAAAAAAAGTTTTTAATTTTTTTTTCTTCTGATTCAAAAATATTTTATTTTACTATTAGAGATAATTTGGCAAATTTGAAATCTTTTCTTTAATCGATTATTGTAAATGTTATTTTCTTGATAGTAAAAACATTTAGTGCTAAAACATATTTATAATGTCATTGGTTAGTAAACAGTGATTTATGATTTTTATGCTCAAAAAGCTTTAAAGACAAATTTGTTTTATATTTTCAATAAATTTGTTTTTAATATAGGAATTAGTGTTTTTATTCGTAACTATGCACATTAAATTTTGATATGAGCTATTTCAATGAATTAATTTAAATTATTTAATTTTCTATTTGTTTTGAACAAAATTTGAAATAGTTTCTGAAGTAGTTATGCATGCATGTTATATATTGCAACTTAACTGTGTTAAATTGACAAAATTTAGAGTAATCATGAAGTGTTATGAATAAAAATGACATTGTATACAATAATAAATTATTGTATTAGCTTTAAAATAATAAAAGAAACAAAGTTTATTTCATTAGTGATTAAAATACTCTAACTAAATAAAACATTTAATATTGATTATATGATAAGATGTTTTATCAAAGAATGAATATCAACTATTTTGAAGGATGTTTACATATTAAGAGTTTATTAGAAGAATTTGTTAAGTAGTATTTCGAAAACATTCAAATTTCTTGGAATAAGAACACTTTATGATCAACAGTAAGAAGAGATCATCAAAAATTTTTATAGGGTAGTTTATAATGAAATATAAGTTTAGCAATCAGCTTCCTGGTCTTTCTATTATTTTGAAACTGATTTCATTAAAATGTGACGTTTGTATTTTTTTTTAACTTAACTAAAATTATTTTTGCTTATGAATTTTATTTATATTTGTGATTTATTTATGTATTTTGTTAAGAAATATCATTTAAGGTGACTTTCATTCACGTTTTAGGTTCCTGTAAGATCGAGAGTATGGGCTATGCGTAAAAGTTATGGAAATAGACATTCTGTCAGCAGTGCTCCTTTAACCTTGAAATTAACAACCACCGAAAAACGACCACAGAGACCTCTTAGTGACATACCTTTGACCGCTGACTGCATTGGAACCCCAAAAATATCCGATCCAATGGAAAAAGATTCTGAAAATTCTGGCATAACCTGTTACGTTCGCCACAAAACACAAATTGAAAGCGTAGTTCGACGCCTCCTTCTCATGTCATACTTTCCCAGTGGTTTCTGGTCTCGGTTGATGACGAGAATGCTGGCTGACGATATCGTTGTTGAAATCATTCGATCTTATTTCCTCCTGCCCAAAGATGTAGATATGGATCCTTTGTTGGCAGCTGTTTTCAATCGTAGGGCTGAATGGATATGTTGGCAAACTGGAATGGAGTTGCGATACCTCGACACAACCTTGTTTCGAATGAAGGAGCACCTGAGTCACCTCAACAATGCTCCATTTGAATATCGCCAGATGAAATTTTTCGTTCAGCAAGAGGGAAGCTGGAGTGATATTGAGATTATAAATTCAGCTATTTTGGAAATTATCCTGCCAAACCAGACTGTCGTTATACAGATACCCAAAGTTGATGCGGATGGTATAATTGTGGCTTATGATAATGTAGAGCTTCAACCTAATTCTGAGTGTGTTGCCAAACTGTTGTCAGTGTCAGTGGATCATATTGATACTCTTCTGGAGGATTGGTACCCGAATCTGGGTACTAGATTTGTTCACACGTCTGAAGGTATATTCTTTTTCACTAATATTCTGTGTTCATTAGAACCTCGGTTATTTGAAAGGGTTTATTATCTGGTTATAGAGTTGCTATTTTTATTGTTGGTTATTGTTAAAGTTTCTTTAGCACACTTGTTTAACAATATTGGTATAGAGAAAACTGGCCAGTGGCCACTTTTTAAAACATATGGCTACCTAAAAAACTGTAAATGTTAATACTGTAAGGCATTTCACAAAATATGATAAACAATGAAAGGTTCATTTCTAAAAACTTAAAAAAACAAACATGAAATAAAGTAATTTTCTTAATATTATAAAATATTAATTATCCATATTATTAAATATCATAATTCCATATTTATTTAACAAAAAATAATTCTAATAAAATGCATATTGGGTACATTTTTGTTGAAAAAAGCGACGCTTGCAGTCAAATTTTGAATTGGTAATAATTATATTTCATTGCTCTATGGCCAGTGGTGAGCGTTAGTTTTGCCCTATAATTGGTAGTAACAATAAATTTGGTGTTAAGGCAACAGTTCAATGCATAACTCTCAAAATACATAATTCAACACAGTTTCAACCTCATAGGTAGATGGATCTAGGTTCTGAGTCCCCTTGCCATCTGGCTACCCATGAGAGGTTTTCATGGTTTTCCTTATCAAGTAAACACAAATGCGAGTTTGTTCCACCAAAAAGTTGTCCATGAAGGATAGTTTTTCCAATGCTTACTCCAGGAGTTTCATTGTCTTCTGGGTTGGGTTCAAAATTTCATTGCTACGGAGTTGAACATTGATAGTCATAAACTCAGAGTCGGGTTGGCTGTTGAATGCCAGTTTTATGAATGTAAAAAATAAAAACAACACAGTTTATAAAATAGCTGAGGATTTCTTTTGATTTTTTTCGTGTCTTCCGTTTATTTATTGAAAAAAAAATTTTTTTTCAGGAAAATTTTTAGTTACAAGATTAGTTCCTTGCACTCAATGTGTTGTTGCTCATGTTAAAGAAGAAACTGGTTCATCAGATAAAGGGCACTTTTCTGTGACTGATCATGCCTGGGAACCAGGGCCATGGCATGGAGAACCTCCTTGGAGGACAGGAATGGACTGTAGTTCTCGTAATCACTCTATGGGCAGCAGCAGGCTGTCCTACTCTCCAAATTTAGCTCAGAAGAATCGAGGCTCTCGTAATAGTACCATGTCACATGACAGTGATAGTGGAGTTGGTCCAGACAGCAATAGTTCTAGGTAGAAATAAATTCTTCATTTATTATTATTACAAGGCACATCCAAAAAGTAAGTTTCACTATTTTTTTAAAAAAAGAACTCATGCTTTCAGGAACATATTTATTGGCATATTGTTTCATATTTTTTCAGCTATTTTTCAACATAGCCATCACCAGAATTGAGTCACTTGTCGTATCGTGGGATCAACTTCTTTATTACTCTGTCGTAGAACTCTGTCGCCTGTAAATGGAACCAGCGTGTGACAGATGTCTTCAGCTCTTCGTTGTTGCCAGAACGCTCACTGGAGGACAGGAATTTCTTGAAGTGCAAGAAAACATGAAAATTGCTGGGAGCAAGATTAGAGCTGTAGGGTGGATGATCAAACAACTCCGAGCCAAATTTAATCAAAACAGCTGCTGTACGTCGAGCCGTATGTGAACGAGCATTGTCATGGAGGAGCAACACCTGCAGTAAGCATTCCACACCTCTTGTTTTGAATGGCACGTCACAATTTCCCCAGTGTTTTACAGTAACGGTCAGCGTTTACTTTTTCACCACCTGGTTTCATAGACAGGCGGCTGAATTCTACAACAGAGGGATACAAAAGTTGATCCCGCGATACGACAAGTGTCTCAATTCTGGTGGTTGCTATGTTGAAAAATAGCTGAAACATTGCTGTACTTGTTGCCAATAAATATGTTCCTGAAAGTATGAGTTCTTTTTTTTTTTAAAAATGGGGAAACTTATGCGCCTTGTACTTTTAAAAATAAAGATAATGAGTTTTCAGATCTTTTTTTAAACATTTCTTATTTATTATATTTGTTTTTAACTTTTTAAACAGTCGTAAACCTTCAACTGAAAGCAGGCCCGAAGCAGAATATACATCTGGCATCGAAAGCACATTATGTATTGAAGCTTTACCTGAAACTGTCATTTATAGCTTCATGGTTGAAGAGTGTATTTTGACTGCATATGAGCAACGAGTGCTTCAGTGTCCTCTACATGGAAACCAGTCTTTGTTACAAATAGCACCGGATACGGTAATAAGAAATTTTAAACTTATTTAATTTTTAGAATTATCTTGTTCCCAATTTTTTTATTATGTTCGGAAATTACTGTATTCTTAAATTCTTTTTTTTAAAAATATCTTTTGTAAATATTAGTTAAATTTGATTAAGAATGTTTTTCTGAAAACATGAATAGAATTTAATGCTATAAATATTTTACTCAGAATTTTCTTGACTTTTTTCCTGCCTTACTTGCTTGTCAAATTGATCTTGTCATGCAGATATCTAGTTGATAAATTTCTATCTGATTTTCTCATTGTGATGTTAAATTCTATATCCAATATAATCAGAGGTAGGGCCTGATTTATACTATGGCCTGACAGGCCAAAGGTCTCAACATGTCTGGGGGCCCCCTAAATGTTACAAATATCTTTTGTGTATTTTTTTTTCTTTAAAAATTATCTGTTAGAATTATGAGTTAACAAAAATTGGAAAAAAATATTGTACACAAATGTAGAAATATATTATACAGGAATGTGATTCTTGTGCTATTTTGTGAAATTTTGCAAATCTCAAGGCCTTGATTCGCTTTTAAATAATTTATATTCTGACAAAATTTTCTCTGAGTTCCACTAATGTAAAATTAAAATTTTGCTACTTACGCGAAATCTCTTTAACGAGATATTTACTCTGCCCTTACTAGAACCTTTTTTTTTGTCTTAAATTCTCTTTCACACTCAATAATGACCTTTTTTGCTCAGATTTGTTAGAGAAAAATGCATCTTCGGATAATCTTAGAGGAAAAATATTCCACGAAAACTTCGCTTAGAACTAAGGAACTACTGAGGCAAACACAAAAGTATAAAATTGGTTTTCTAAAAAATAATTTCAAAGTGGTAAACATTAAAAAAATTGTTCACTAGAAAAAATGATGTTTTTTCTCATTTTTCTTAAAACTGATGTTTTAATGAGTAGCGACTTTGTTCCGAATTCCGCAAAATCTCTTTAACGAGATATTTACTCTGCCCTTACTAGAACCTTTTTTTTGGTCTTAAATTCTCTTTCCCACTCAATAATGACCTTTTTTGCACAGATTTGTTAGAGAAAAATGCATCTTTGGATAATCTTAGAGGAAAAATATTCCACGAGAATTTCGCTTAGAACTAAGGAACTACTGAGGCAAACACAAAAGTATAAAATTGGCTTTCTATAAAATAATTTCAAAATGGTAAACATTAAAAAAATTGTTCACTAGAAAAAATTGTGTTTTTTCTCATATTTCTTAAAACTGATATTTTCATGAGTAGCGATTTTGTTGCAAATTCCGATCTGTAACAGCAGAATTATTTAATCAATGTGATATATTTGCCTCTTACTTTTATTTGACTGCAATTAGATTGAATTAATTTCTAATATGATTTTACGTTCAAATTTTTGAACATAATTTGAACTTAATCAAATTTTTATAATGCTTATTTTTATATTTTTGTTTAAGAATTATGTTTTGCTGATAATCAACTTTTTACAGGTGTTTGTAGATCTTGGAGAACGCCACTTAATACCGCCTGACTCTGTTCGACGGGGAAAAATGCTTGGTAGAGGAGCTTTTGGATTTGTTTTCAAAGCCAATATAAAACAAAGAGTATGTACCAGTAGTTATAACTTTTAAGTAGATTAGTCTATGAGCTTAAATTATCTTATTAATTTATAAAGTCATGTTACAAAACTTAAGAAATATGTTATATAAAGTGCTCTAAAATATGTACAAAATGCACTTTGTTACTATTCCTATGACAGTTTTTCTATTTTAATTTAGGGTAGCAATACATATACAGAAGTGGCAATGAAAATGTTACAACCTGTAGATCCTGGTTTTGGTGCTAAGCAGTCTGATACTGCAGCTTACAAAGTAAGCATTTTCCAATTTCCCCTTAGTCGATAACTTATGTTTTTAGTGACTGTTGTTTGTTAGATAATACATTTCACAATCTTTGTCTCTTCAGGCTATTGATGCTTATAAAAAACTGCACAATACAGTAGAGCGCCGATTATCCGAACTGCTCGGGACCGAACGTGGTTCGAATAATGATAAGTTCGGATAATTGGAAAGTTGTTTAAAATTTAGTTTAAATGATTATTATTTACGCACTGACTTCCCTTCTCTCTTTTTCCAGGCTTAGGACTGGCAGTACTATCTAAAATAGCTCTTGCATGTTTAAAAGTATTTTTTTTTTTAATTTTTAAATATTTTTTATTGATTTATTTTTTGTAACTTTTTTTTTTCATTTTGAATTTTTTTAAAATCATATTTCGGCTTTTTATAATTTTTTTGTCAATTACTGATTTTACCACATTTTTCTTTATTTTCTATTACAAAAGAAATCCAGCAAAGACTTTTGTTTCAAAAATGATACTCTTTTTAGAGCAGCCATATCATTTATTCTTTTTAAATAAATCAACTGAACTAAATCAATATCATTTTGACGTTCTAGAATGTCAAAATGAAGTTTGCATTCTTGGAAGATAATTTTCAGTTGAGGAGGGCTAAAGGGGTATGCAGGTTTAATTGTATAACAATACATGTAAGTATGGCTACTATAAGAAAACTGCTAAAAAAGGTTGTAAATTAAATATGGTCATCAAGTGTAGTAAATATTATTTATTCTTCTAAATTTAGAAAAATTGTCGATAAGTTAAAAAGCATTCTAAATTTTTTAAAAAAAAAACGAATTCGGGCATAGTTTGGATAATTGGACGTTCGGATAATAAGGGTTCGGATAATCGGCGCTCTACTGTAGTTCCATATTTTTGACTATTTTGATGTTTCTTACATTTAATCTCTTGTTCAGTACAAAGTGAACAACAATATATTTATCGATGCAAAACTTAAATTAATTCTTATTTTTTTCCTCAGGCTGCTTGGAATAAATGGCAGAGAGATCCTTTGCAGTATGCATGCAAAGCCTATTGCACTGCTCGTCAAGAGCTAAATATATTGCTCGCTTTACGTCATCAAAATATAGTGCATTTAGTTGGAGTCTGTACAAAACCTCTTGCTCTAGTCCTTCAGTTGGCTCCAATGGGAGCTTTAGATTCTATTCTGAAAAATTATCGTCGATCTGGTGCAAAGTTGGATGTTTATGTAATGCAGAAAATAATTTTTCAGGTAATACACTTAATTTATAGTACATAAATTTTTAAAAATATTTTAAAGTTGGTTTTAAATGTTTTAAATTATGGAAAGTTAACTATATTTTAAAAAATAAAATATTGACCAAAAGTAGGCTTTTTAAGGAATTAATAAAAACTATTTGTCTTAAAAGTTCATTTCTCTTATAAATAACTTTAATACAAATACTTTCATAATACTTTTAATTTATAATGCACAATTTTTTTAAAAGAATTACTTTAGTGCTACTTTTTTAATGTTTTACATTATGGAAAGTTAATTACATTTTAAAAAATAAAATATTAGCTAAAAGTACACTGGTCAAGTAATTAATAAAAACTATTTCACTTAAAAGTTCATTTCTCTTATAAATAACTTTAATTCATGCATAATTAACATGTATAATTTGTTTTGAGGGTGTATTTAGTATTGCAATTAGCTTAACTTTCAATTTATATTTTCAGATTGCAAAAGCATTAGAATATTTGCACCAGCAACATATAATTTACCGTGATCTGAAGTCCGAAAATGTTTTAGTTTGGGAATTACCACCTCCATTTCATTGTTCGACACCCATCCCCCATGTTGAGACCAAATTAGCTGATTATGGAATCAGTCGTTCCACTTTACCAACAGGAACTAAAGGCTTTGGAGGTACTGAAGGATTTATGGCCCCAGAAATCATGAGATACAATGGTGAAGAAGAGTATACTGAAAAGGTAATATTTATTTTTACTTCTTTTTTATTGAGCACTATAATTTCTTTAGTATCTTAATTAAATATGAATGCTAGTTAAGTATTATTTTATTACATGGCGTTTAGATTAAAAAAGTTATTCATATAACAATGCGATGGAAAGAGAAATGCTTTGTCTAGATAACAAAAATTGTTTTGCTAATTCTATTGTACTCTAATTTTGAAAAAAATATTTCAATAAGCATAATGAGTCATTAACAATTTATACTTAGCATTAATCAATAGTTATTTACATAATTTTTAGTTTATTAATGTTAGCTTTTTTTTTAAACCCGTTTTAGGACAAACATAGAAATTTTATAAAATGTGGTAGTATTTTCTTAGAAATGTGCTTAAATTACATTCATTAAGACATGAAAAAAGTTTCCTGCATGAGAAATAATATTTTATTTTAGAAATAAAATGATATTTTGCTTCATTGGCCAAATCAATGGTCAAACCATTTAGTAAAACACTAGTTTTTCATGAGTTTTATATCTATTTTATTTACAATTGTTTAAAGTTTTAAATAAAAATACAAATAAATTTTATTTACAACTTTAAACCATCCTGAAAACATATGTTTAATCTCAAGTGGAATATGCATTTTCCTAAAGTCGAATTTGTCGATTATCTTCTCAAGTTAAGATTCTGACATAGTTTAAAAATTTCTCATCAGAAAGTGTTTACTCCAATTGAACAACTAATATTTTACAAACGCTTTTAGAACCCTTAACAATAGCAGAAAAATAAAATTAATGAAAAATATACGCCTCAGTGTAAATAAAAAAAATATTTATTGAAATGAAAAGTTTAGCACTTTTGGTCAAAAATGGTTATAACTATTTATTTATTTTTACTAGGAAACAAGATAAAAGGAGGTACCCGTACAAATATATTAAATATTAGGCTTCCAAATTCAATTTTGCTTTTTAAACCCAGCATACTGATTGTTTTGAATGAAAATAAATAATTTTACTCAATAAAAAGGATTTTTTTATAGTTTTTATTAGTTTTTCCTCCAAATATTAATTTTAGAACATCTATAAAAATTTCAAAATTTGTAATAAATTAAAAGTTTAACACAAAATTATTTAAGAAGTTGGCTTTAAAATATAAGGAAGGTAATATGTCTTCTTCAAGGCAATTAGTTCTCAGACAGTTTGTTTCAACTGCAGTCAGTGTAGTTAAACTTCATTTATAGTAAATTACAAAACATAAATATTTTTTATTATAGTGCTATAAATTTTTTGTTGATGCATATTATCATTCTATTTAAAATTATTGTTATATTCATTTAATTTATAAGACTTTGCTAAGCAATGTTGGAAAACCTGAAATACTGAATTTTGTTGTTAAAATTTCTTTCCTGCATACATTATTTTTCTTTATAAGTTATACTTTTTTTCAGGTTGACTGCTTTTCATTTGGGATGTTTATGTATGAACTAATAACTCTTCATGAGCCATTTGAAGGACAGGAGTGTGTTGTCAAAGATTATATTTTAGAAGGAGGTCGCCCATTTTTAACTAAAAGAGTATGTTATGTCAGTTAATTATTTTATTTCAAATTTCTCATGGATATATCTTTAAAATTAAGATCAAATTATTCAGTACTTTTTGCTATTGTTTGAAAATAATTGCTTCGGAGATACCAATTAATCCTCTGAGCCCCAGTCTTGACTTTTTATGAATTTTTTAATGAGGGAAGTTTGCATCAAAAAACGGTTTATCCATGTCACTGATACTTGTACAAAATACTTGTTTTCTTTCGCAATTTATTGTAGGTCTCACGAACCTCTGAGAGTTTTAAATTTTATTGCTAAGTAGGAAAAATTGCATGAACTAAACATCTCTAAAGTTACAAAATAATCATTTAAGTATTTCTTGAGAAGTTTAAAAAAATGTAAAAAACTAAAAGTGTCTCTTTATTATTGTAGGGTAGTGTATATATATATATGTATGTGTATGTGTGTACGTATGTATATTTGACGTCATTTTTAAGCAATAAGAGAAAAGGTTACTAGCATGACTGATTAAATTTTTCTCACACTTTTGAATTTGTTATTTTAAATTTGTTTTCCTCTATTAATTATATTTTTAAAATTAAAAAGTAAGTCTTATTTCTAAACTAGTGTTCAGTTAAAAAAAAAAAATATCCCAATTTTGTTCATACTTTACACAGGATCAATTTAAGGCAAAAAAAAAAAAAAAAAATCATCAGATTTATTGACATAACTTGAATAATATCACCAAAACATTTAAAATAATTTATTTAATACATTACATCATATTTTCATATAAGCTTTGTTATGAGAATTGATTAACACTTAACTACCTCTAAAGGTTTAACACCATACACTTATCTAATCCTCTCTTGTGCCAGCTCTGATTGGGTGAAGAATGTCACATGGGGTTAAAATTAAAATGAAAGAGCCCTTTTCACATGTTTAGATAAAATTGCCAGCTTTCTATTAAAGGACAATTAAATTTTAATATATATTTAATTATTGTGGTATTAGTGCTACATTATATTGATCAACTGATAACCTCTTGGTTGGTAAACATTGGCCACAAAAAGCTGATCGGTTATATTGGTCAGTAATATGATATTTCTGCTTGCATATTAGTAGTTTCTCATGTTTTTGCCGACATTACTTCAAATAAAGTGTGTATCAAACTATAAATAATATATCAATAATCACCATTATCCTGTAGAAAATTTAATTTTAATTAAAATTGATTAGGAAATGGCTTATCCAACTTACTTACTGGATTTAATGACTCTGTGCTGGTCGCATCAACCAAAGGACCGGCCATCTGCGAGTCAAATAGTGTCTATTGCTCAAGCACCAGAGTTGACCCATTTAATTGATGTTGCTTCTCTGCATGATCAGATGGCAGTACTTAGTGCTTGTGTTACTGCTCTTCCACCTAAAACTGAAGGTACTGATTTAAATCAATTTTATTTTCTCTAGATTAAAATAAGTAGCAGCTATCATTTTCAGGTTTCACTATTGGGTACAATTTTTACATGCATGTGAAACTACTATATTTAAGAATCTGAAGCTTTAATAGTTTTTTTTTTAATTCNTTTTTTTTTTTTTTTTTTTTTTTTTTTTTTTTTTTTTTTTTTTTTTTTTTTTTTTTTTTTGATTGGAGGGGTGATATATAATGCGGCAATAAAATATTATAATTTTCCTATTTAATAATCTAGATTGCTGACCATTCTGAAATTTTTATATGTTTCAAAATCTTTTCTTGGTAAAAATTCATGTATTTTGAATCTTAATGTTGGAAGACTTGTTTAATGTAACATGTTAATGTTTTTACCTGTATTTTTGACACTTTTATTGTCGGTTGATTTTATCCACTTTGATGTTTTAAGCACTTTTAATCTTTATTCTGTTTTATTTTTATTTTACTTTTTCAATTTTGGGATTTTTCCTATGTGTTTTAATCTTTTTAATTTAGTACTTTTACTTTTCTGTAGTTTGGTAGTGTTTAGTCACGTGCAAACGGGTGAAACCCTTATCCGCAAACTCCTTCGGGGGTAGGTCGGTTACTATTGGTCTTAATGTAAGCATAACCAGTTTATCCCGCCCTTACCAAGTGTGAACTTTAATCATCCACCAGCATAACACCTAATGCAAGGCTACCATCTTAGACTTACTTTCATACCCCTCTCATTTAATTAGCACTTTTATACGTAACTTGATTTACATCTGCACCATAAGTTTTTCCAAGGCAGATGGATTTGTGTTCTGTGTGCCCATTATAATTACTAGCAAATAATCACTCAAACTTAGTTCTTTCTGGTTAAAAATGTATTTCCATGTAACCATCTGGATGTGCATAATGATTATTCTGGAGCCAAAGTGTCTCAGGAGATCGAGTATTGCCTCTCAATGAGGAGACCTGGGTTTGAATCCTAGCGGTGACTGGTTGATACAAATTCTGTTTCCGACATGCACCGACCACAGTGCTAACGTAATATATCCTCAGAAGTAGGCGAACCATGGGTTAGAATCTGCAGTGAGAGATTTTCCTCTTTATGTAACGTAAATATTGGTTAGTTTCTACAAAAAGTCGGGCAAGAAAGCTAGTTTGACCCAATGTTTGAAACAGGAGTCCCCTTGTTTTCTGGGTTGGGTTAAAAATTACAACTCTATGAAGTTGAACATTGATAGTGGTAAATTCAGAATTGGGTTGGGTTAAAAATTACAACGCTTAAATAAAATATAACTTAATTTTTCTAACAAAATCATAATTCTTATAAATCATTTTTCTAACAAAACTGATTTTCTTATAACAATTTTTAAAATTTTAGAGACTATCAGAAAAATCATTTATGATACATTCTATTTAAGTTTTAGTTTACTTACAATACCACTTAATCCTGTTGAAAAATTAACCTTCCAAGCACTACAGGGAAAAAGAATTAGAACAAGATGGTTAGATAGAGTAGAGAAGTAGTTAAAGTATTTGTGAGTTAATGGATGGAAAAATATCTCATCAAATAGATCCAGATAGGGTAAAATGACTGAGAACGCCTTGCCTGGTAACAGGCTGTAATCCCTAAGAAGAAGACAATATCACTTACTTGCACTTGTAAATAAAATTTTCTTTTCAGCTCATGATTTAAGTTTCTTTTGTTTGTTATAATTTCTGTGTTGTATATTTTAAAATTATTACAAAATATTACTGTTTTATTACAACATAAGACTAATGCCAGACTGCATAAAAAATACTTCATTATTTCTTAATGTTTTATTTAAAACATTATAGAGCAAAGTATCCAAGATGATCAATGGGAATTGTGGTTTAGCAGACTTGGGAAACAGATGGATATCTTGACTTGCAGCAGAAAGTCTTGGCTTGAGTATAAGGTAAATTTACTTTAAATGTTTTATTTTTTATGCTATATTGGAATGTAGTAAAGCCGTCAATAATATTAAAAATATACATTCAATCTTTTTAAAATTGTTCTTTTAATAAAGGCATTGTTCTATATATCGCATCTATCTAAAACGTTTTGTGTTGCAACCAATTAAATAAAAAGAAATGTTTATATTTTTAAGTGCGTTTGATTACAATATATTTTAATTAGTTTTTTTTATTTAGGCTATCATTTTTTTAGGAGACAACTTATGGAATCTGTATGCAACCTAAATATTTACTTACATTTAGGTGGGATATTCTATAAGTGGACTCAGTATCATACATTTGAAACATTAAACTTAAGAATAAATATGTTTAATATTTACTAGCATTATAAAAAAAATTGATTCTGAAAAATTTACTGTGGAGTTTTATTGTGTATTGTTCCTAATTTTGTACTAGAGTCACTTTATTTTTCTCCGCATACATTTTTGAGTTGTTAAAATGATACAAATACTAGTCTGTAGTGATGCAACTATTTTTTGTAATAATGGGAATAATTTTCAAGTGTCTCATAATAAAAACAAAATGAAACATTTAATCACTGTTCCCTAAGCTTCAGTTAATCTATACATAGATGAGTTTAAATGCATTTTATTGTATGAAAATTAGAAGAGTTCATTAAAGTGTAAAAAATACCATTAAAATAAGTTACACTAAATTAAAATAAGTTATACTAAGCTTTGCTGTTTCCATAATTTCTTTCCATAATTGTGCAGTTGAAATAAAATTCTACAGTAGTACCACACAAATAATGCAGCAAAACTCATTATAAAAAGTTATATAATGCAAAGTAGTTCTGAAACATTTAATGAGACATATGTGTATTCCAATATTGAATTGCTGATAAGGAAAAAGGATAATTTTTTAACATATTGTAAAGAAATATTATTCTTTTCATAATAATTCCCTCACAAAAAATAATTAAAATAAAATTAAATTAAGGTTTGTCTCAAAATTGAAACATTAGAGGACTAAAGATAGAACATTCAGAACTTGAAGAGAAAAAAAACCCATTTAAAATAGGTTAACTTAACTACAAAGCTTTCACATATTCCGTTGTTAAAGCAAAATTCTGTAGTAGATTGCACACTAATTGTGTAGCAAAATACCTAACAAAAGGCTGTATCATGGTAAGTTTTGAAACATTTCATGAGACATTATTATGTATTCTAATAAATATTACTCGTTGAACTAAGTTTTGAAACAATGTTGAATGAGCAATATTTTCTCCATAGCTTTTATTATTCAAAATCTGTATTATGCTTAATAGTTTTGAAAAATGTGTTACAAATCAATAAATTAAATGGATGAAAATATCTTCATTAAAAGAAAAATTAATTAAACTGATTGACCATTAATGTTTCAGTAGTTATGCTAATAAGGGATCTAAAATATTACTTTTTATGCATAAATGTTTCTTTGAATTTTATATTTAGGATTTATCACTAAAATATATATATATTTTTTTTAGACTTTGACTTTAGAAACTGTGACTGTTACTTGTCTGTGTGTGGTTGGTGATGATTTGTGGTTAGGAGATTCTAAAGCTCGAGTTCATATTTATAAGTAATTTCATGTCTTTGTTCTCTTGTAACAAAATTTATCCTGCTATTAAATTTTACTTAATTTTATATTCACTGAATGGTGCTACATTAATTAAAAGTTTAGAAATTGAAATATTTGTAAATGCCTTTATTATTGGGTTGTCCATAAAATGGCAAAATACCTAAATTAAAAGAGACATTAATGTACAGTTTGCTGCTGAGGAAATCAAGTATTTTAATTTCATGAAGTTCGCCCACAAATGATGTTGTTGACTAGAAATTTATAGAGCAATGTTTTCTATCATTTTAACTGAAATATTTACTAGATCGTCTCTTAATTTTTTTAAACAGGCTACCACACTTTTTTTTTATAAATGATAACTGCTTGGAAAATATTATTGTATGTTCTTTTCAGTTTGCACAAAATTCGTAAGCAATTTAAAATATTAGTGAGAATAAATTCTCTGATTTCCCGAGCAAAGCAGCAAAATAAACTGTACATTTCGTTTTTGTTTTTTTTTAATTTAATTTTTTAAATCACCTATAAATTATGGATCTGTTGGTAAACAATTTGAGTATGTAAAATAATTTTTTTGAGTATTGAACATAATTTTTTTCTTTATTTAAACAAATGAAACGTATTATTTTGAGCCTTTATTGTAAATGATGGGAAAATATATACTGAACTTTGTCACTATGAACCTTAACTATTTAATTAAAAATCGTTCTGATAAAGACAGATGAACTTGCTTATAATAAGCCCTGATTTAATGAAAACCTAGACATAAGGAAGAAATCAGACTTACTTGGTGGTTAGTCAATGTTAAGTCTACTGGAGCATAGCTCACTTCTAACGAACAAACCTCGATTTCAGGGAGCATTATTTTTGTGATTCATAAAATTTCTATTCAAGTACATCTCTCCAGCTCAGCTAATCTTCCTTGATAAAATTCTTTTAGATGTTTCTTGGGTCGATGAATTTTTTTTTTTTGCATGTTGACAATGTTTTTCGGGTCATGAGTCTTATCCAAAAGACAGTAACACAACAAAGAGGCTATAAGACAGTTCAAATCAAATTAGCTAACTTCTTTATTATTATTAATAAAGTAAATTCTTTATTATTAATAAAGTATTTACTTTATTAATAATTTAGTTAGTATGTATGAACTTTTAGGGTTTTTTTATGAACCGCTTTTGTATAAGCACTCGGTTGTAACGAGCAAATATGCGTTATGCGGGAATTTGACTGTATTAGAGGTTTAGGGTCATAATAAAAAGCTTAGAGAGGAAGCACACGTTAAGAAATACTTTCAAACCACTCAATTTTCAGAATTTAAGGACCTGTTGTTGTTAGCTAGAAGAATAAATTTATTCTGACACCCTTTTTATTTTATTAACGTTCCAGTAGTTTCAATACTACATTCTTTCTTCAATTTCCTTTTTTTTTTTGGTGAAAAATTATCCCAACTTAAACATGATTATTTTTAATATAGCAATCAATTTTTCTCGCTTTATGCTTCGGTGACATGTATGAATTTTAAAAAAAAAATTGTCTTTTTCTTCAATTTTGGAGAAATTTTTTTTTTCATAAACTGTTTACCAAATTAGGACAAATACTCTTTTGTTCTTTAAATTTTGGAAATTTTTTATTTTTAATGAAATTCTCAATTAAAAAAATAACAATTTATGTTTTCAGTATTGCTGACCATTCAATGGTGACATCATTCTCTGTAGATCCACATGCTCCAACAGTTTCAGCAATTAGAAGCATGTGTACTCTTCCTGGACAAAATGGTGTTGCCATGGCTACAAGTGGTGGCCAGCTTTGGCTTTGCTGTATTGAAGACACAAATACAGAAGAAAATAAAACTGATGCCAGGGACTCTCCAAAATATAATATAGAGGAACTTATTAACAGTGGTGGATCAATATTTTGCATTACATCTATTGACTTGGGGAATAACTGGTAAGTTTATGATAAATTTTTTAGTTAAAATATTAATATTGAATTTTGTAATAAAAGTGAAACAGCAAACACTGATACCCCTAGAACAGGGGTTTCCAACTTTCATGAGGCCAATTAAAAACACAAATCAAATGGCGGGCCACAACTTTATCAAAATTTTATGTTTGATAGAACGTTAAATATTACTGTCAGATTTTTACCAAGTTGTACAAAACAAGCGTATTGCATTACAAATTAAAATAAGAAGTAGATTTTTAAAAATATTTAATTGCATGTTAAAAAATTCGAGCTACAATAACTTTTATGTGCACCCATGTATTAAACAATTAATGTGCAACAGATATCTAATTGTTAAGATATAAGACTTTAAAAAGGTTGATATTAAAACTTACATAGTAGTACCAAAATATACAATGACAAAATTGAGGTTTCTCTGTTGCAACCACCAGAGAATAGATTTTTACATTTAAAATTTGCAAATGTGTATGTAAATATTTTCGTCCGAAATGAGTGGTTTCAAAAAGTTAAATCGGAGAATTTCTTCGAGAAAATTTCTGATATGCACATGCTAAATTATATTCACAAAATACAAAAAAATAAATAAAAAAGAGCAACATACACGATTATTTTTGTATTTGAATAAATATTTTCTTGGATGAAAAACCTGAGAAATAATTTTGTATACACCGTTGGTATGATAAATTTCACAGAAACAAAGAAACTAGGTTTTTATTAACGAGAAAAGTATTTTAAACCCATATAGATTTTGTGAAAATTGTCCGCAAAAAACTGACAACTAATATATTTTAGTTCGTGAGCCACAAATAAAGGCTTCGGGGGCCGCCAGTTGGAAACCACTGCCTTAGAATCTTGATATAAAATATTAATTTTGATCAGGTTTTAAACCAAAATAATCCTTAATAGGACATCATTTAATACTTAATAGGAATAAAAAATATCTAATATAACATATAACACTGAGGCACAAATTTTTTGTAGCATTTATACAAATACTTGTTTTTGTCTAATGCAGACGTAGGGATTTTAAATCTGAGATTAAAATTTGTTCCTAAACCTACAGGTTTTTTTAAATAACATTTTTAGTCAAAATGTTCAAGTTTAAAAGCATTATGTATTACATATAAAACTGAGGCACAAATTTTTTGTAGCTTTTATACAAATACTTGATTTTGTCTAATGCAGATGTGGGGATTTCAAATCTGAAATAAAATTTTGCTCCTAAGCCTACAGGTTTTTTTAAATGACATTTTTATTCAAAATGTACAAGTTTAAAAGCATTATGTATAACAGGGGATCACCTTATGTATAATACTGCACCAAACTTCTAGGGATGTTAGGGCTCATCATCAGGATTAAAATGACATAGAAACCTATGCCCAGAAATGTCATCTTGTGCTGCTAGAGACACTTCCCTATTATGACCTGTTCAGGAGCACACGAAGAAACAGTTCATAATAGGGGAAGCGCTGCTAGAGCTGTATGACGACATTTCTGAGACAATTTTAAGCCTGATGATGTGCCCTAACTCGCCTAAAAGTTTCTGTAATATTTATGTGACTCCCTGTTCTGTATACATTTATAAACTTGTACATTTTGACAAAAAAATAGACTACATGTCATTTAAAAAAAATCTGTAGCTTAGAAAGCGAAACTGATTGCACGTTTGAAATCAGCAATACAAAAGATCTGTTAAAAAATCTCATGCAACAGAAAAAAAATTATTCTCCAGTGTAATTTATACAGACATTTCTCTTTGATTACTCTGAGTATTTGGTGCAGCATAGCCATTTCCAGCTCCCTACATTCAATTAAATCTATACAGAAGTTTTTTCCATGTATGATATTTAAAAATATGATCTTTCATATTCGTTAATGTCAATAAAAACAAAAGTTAGTATTTACAAATATATTTGTAAACACTAAGTTTTAGAACTAAAAATTGAGCTTTGGTGAAACCAATCAAGTATAGCTAATATTTGAAAACCTAGTGGAGCTAAACGAATTGTCCTAGAAAATGTAAAATTTAATTTAAATATTGCTTAGTTTTAGTAGAATATATCATCGTAACTATAAATTTAAGTGTATAAGTGGAAATATATTTATTTAACATTGATAGTTTATCTTCTTTGTTTTCCTTAAGTCTCCTAGTAAAACACTAAATACAATAAATATTTCATCATCATAATTTTTTATAGCTTCAAAAACTTGTTATTCTATAGAACTAGTCAATGGACACCTGAAAAGTTCACGCCGATTTTGTCAGTTTATCTAAAGGCAGATCTCAGAACGAACTTTCTGGACAATCCAATACTGTGTTTACAATTTCTACTTTCAAGTCACTACAATGATTTTTTTCTTTTTTAGTTTCCAAAATATTTTATGTAATTTCTGGTATTATCTCTTTTCCTTAAATTCATGATGTAGTGAAAAAAATTGCTTGCTTAAAAATTAACTTTAACACTTGGTGCCAAACCAGACTCTTTTTTTTCTTCTTGCTAGTAAGTGTATTAAAGATTACTTTATTCAAAAATCTGAGATATCTTTATAAATGGGTCTCATTATTTAACATAGATCTGCATGCCTACTTAAAAATTAATAATTTTTCTTACTTCATGTGCTTTTTTTTTCAGTAGTGAGTTATGGTGTGGCCAAACCCAAGGAAAGATATCTATTTACTCAGCAATTAATTCATCAGTCACTGGTCATGAAATTGTTTATCATTATGATCCTGTAGTAGATAATTTAGATGTCTATCAACTAGTAGGAGGGTTTAGTGATAAACCTATAGTATGGTCTTATGTTTATCCAGGTACTTTTAAATTTTACTTTTTATTGACTGTTATTGTTTAATACCAAATTTGAAAATATTAAAGAAAAATTTAAAGATCCTTTTTCTACAAGTAGTATCTATTATTTTTGTTTCATATTTCGTCATAAACTGTGAAATTTTATTAATTCTTAATGGTGGAACAAATATAAATTGCATCTGTTTTGAGATTTTCTTTAATTATTATTGTATTGCTTTAGTTTTTTATATTGGTGAGATTGTTTTGCTCATTTTAAACTAACTTTTCATGGTGTAATGGCAACATTTTTCTTAGTTTAGTCTTCTAAAAAATTCTATTTGAATAATGGTCTTGTAAGATGTGTTACATAATTTTTGAACTGGGGGCCTCTTAATACCAGAAATGGGTCGCTATTGCTTTCCTTGCACCAAAGAAAAGCAATTATGTAATTTTCTCCTTCAACTATTAATTAAGAAGAAAAATAATTTATGTTTAAAGCTTGGTTATGATTTTGTCAACATAAACATACTAGTACCTTTTTTTCACAGCTGAAGAATTATGCATCTTATGGAACATATCAATAATTTATTTTTTGCATTTTATAGCACATAAACAGAATCATTGAGGGATTGATTTCAATATACTCTGTGAACAACGACAATTTTTAGATCATTTGTTTGTTAGGAATTATTTCATAAACGTTCTTCATTAAGTCATCACAAAAAAAGGAGGTAAAAAAAAAAAAGCAATGCTTGAATTAAGTCAAAAACTGCACAAAAATAATTTTGAAGCATGTTCATGGTTTTAGAACTTGTATGCCTTATTATTGCACAGCTCTTTCTGTGCCATGAACTGTTAACTCGGAAATCTTACGCCAAACAATGCCTCGGGTCATATACTGCTTTTTTTAGATGTAAGGTTTTTGAAACTATGAATTAGCTTGTTGCTTGCAGCCTCCGGGTTGCAGTCAGGCTTGTCACTCCACAGGTAGAATAAGGAAAACCTGGTAAATACATGGAATTTAGATTGTTTTTCTTTACAAATGGGGAAAATACAGGGAATTATTTTCGTCTTTTAAAAAATGGTGACCACTCACTGCGTTATCTATGGGATATTTAAGGATGATATTCAAATTATACTAAACTATTTCATTTACTATAGCATTATTTGTTTTAATTATATTAAGCTGTTTCTTATTTCTTTAAGTTTTTCAACAGTTTTTTTTTTCAATTTTTGTTGTATGCCTGTTTAGGCAGTGGGGGTGCGATTGTTTCTGTTTTTCAGTGTCGCCATCTATGGCCAGGAATTCAACTTCTACCACGCCATTCACACAACCCGTTTATAGGGCGGGAACACAGAGAGAGAGAAAGAAACATCCATTCCTTGCTCGGGATTCGAACCCAGGACCTTTTGAGATGCAAGGACAGTTCCCTGCCCCCTACACAGGCCGGTCGGCTTTCCAACAGTTAAAACTAGTATAGCTAGACTTATATAAGTCACTCAATAGCACAGTGATTGTGTGCTTCTTCTTAATATATTGTGCATAATACGTACAGGTTTTTTTTCCCCTGCACATTTGAGTAGTAACCCTGTTTATGTTTAAAAGTTGTGTGTAACTATTATTTAAACTATTTTTTTCTCAATAATTTATAATTTACTGTATAAGTTGTGAATGTTATCACCAAAGCAAGTAAAAAAACTTTTTTTTAAATCTATTATATATATATTGAACTTTTTGTAGGTTGTGTAGCCTACCAGTGGGATACAGTAAAGAGAACAATTTTGCATAAACTTGATTGCTCAAAACTTGCACCATGCTCAGAGAGTCTAATGTCTATCAGCATTGAAGAGCATCTAAGTCGTAAGTAAATTTTATCCATATTAATCTATCTACATAATTTTTTCTGTATATGGAAAGAAGACTCAAGTTTTGAATTAATAGAATAATAAGATGGGAATTTATAATTATTTTTCCAGTTTGATATCTTAAAATGTTTCAGTGTACAAACTACAACTTGTTATAGTACAGGGGTGCAGTGGTGTAGCGAGGGGGAGCAAGGGGGGGGCATCATGCCCTGGGCGCTACTCATAGAGGGACGCCAAATGGTCAGCAAAACAAAAAAAAAATTGTTGGATAATTTTTTATTTTTATTTTACAATTTATTTCTGGAAAATATATTTTAAATTTAGTGCCAGTGAAATATAATAAATGTTAATTCGTAAATAAAAAGAGAACACTGATCAAACTGTAATAATATATTCATAATAGAAATGACACGTCTTTTCTAATGACAGGGCTGACTCGACCTGTGTCTGTCAGCACTTCCTTATGGCATTTACGCTGTGTGGTTACATATATTATCTCCAAATATTTGCAGTTTACAAAGTGCAAACATCAGTGTACAAAGTATTTGTACGTTTGTACAGTGTACAAACATTCTTTCTTTCAGAACACTATTTATTTTTATTTCTATAAACGCAAAGTAGCTTACGCTTGTTATTTTAAAACGATAACAATAACACTCTAATGTACTTATATGTACAGTCATGGAAAAAAGTATCCGGAAAATAGCAACTAAAGGATTGTCTATTTTTTAATATAGATACTTCTCAGACACATAACAAATACAGCGTTTTGCTGTTTCTAGGAAAGGACACAAACACCGTATTTGTTGTGTGCCTGAGAATTATCTGTTTCAAAAAATAAATGATTCTTTATTTGTTACTTTCCGGATACTTTTTTCCGTGACTACATATCCGTGACACTTGCAACAGGTTGTGGAATTCCGCTACAAATTAGGTAAATACCCGAAATATTAACGTTTAAGTTATTTTGTGCCTGTATTTTTCAGTTTTGGGTCATTGTCATTGCGCTCTGCTTAGAATAAAAATGAAATGTTATTAAATGTTAAAAGTTTAATTTTAGCATAAATTATAGTGTATATTTCACTGTGTTACTACCTTTCAAGTTCAAGGCATTCTTGGTTAGTAATAAAACAAATAAGATTACTTACTACATCTACTCGACGATTCTATTATTCAGTGAATAGGGTATGAAAAAATTTGTTAACAGTGCTCAATTAAACAAAGAACTCTTAATTTACCGTAAATATGGCTTATCTGGGGGACAACCTAAAACCAGCAACTTTTTTCTACGCTTGTCAAAACTATCACATTAATAAGCATTGGACTTTGACGTCTAATTTTAACAACATATCTTAGTTTAATTTTAAATTTAACTAAAAAGGATAGTTTATCAACTCTATAGAAAATTAAAATAAAACTACCTAAAATCACTTACGGCTTGGAAAGAAACAGAACGAAGATTAATAAGTAGAACGGGAATTGATGTATCATTAGAAGCGAACATTCAGTCTTAAAAAGAACGGTGGCGAAATATATTACATGGCCGTGTAGAGGAAGATTTTGTATAATTAAATACCTCATGCAAAGAATATTAGCTTGCATGAGGTATTTAATTATGCAAAATCTTTCTCTATGTGGCCATGTTGAAAAACTAGCACTTCAAGATGGTACAAATGTAGGAAACCTATTATCTTTACTCAGACTTGTAGGTCAGTTTGATACACTACTAGCAAATTATCTTAAACATGCCACAGAAACTCTAAAAACTGTCTCATATTTGTCACCACAGATTCAAAATGAATTCATCCATCTTATGGCATCTACAGTTCGAAATCAACAAAACAATGCTTTAACAAAAACTGTCAAACATGAATCTGAAACACGATGGAGAGCCAGAATACAAGCGGTTAACGTTATCATCGATGGGCAAACGATTATAGTAGAACTATTAGGAAAATTCTCAGAAGACACTACCACTACAAGTGACACCAGAAGTGAAGCTACAATTATGTTGCAAAATATACTAACTTTTAGTTTCATAACTTTATTTCATTTCTGATATGAAATCTTAAGGAGGAATGATCGTGTGCAGCTCAGATTACAAGATCCTAGAATGAATTTTAGAGAAGTGTTCCATGATCTTGAATCATTAGCGACTGAACTAGCCGAAATTCGAGACAAGCTCTGTGAAGAGGCAATAGAAAAAGCGAAGTCTCTGTGAAAAATGGGATATTGATGCAACAATACGTGTAAGAAGACGCTGCAAAATGCCCGTAGAATTGGCTTGAGATGTCGGTATTTCCACAGAAAGTGAAATTTCTCGCGTTATGAAAAAGTTCTTGATCGTATCCAACAAGAAATATGTACACGATTAAATGACCTTAATTTCAAATTTGGATTTCTACTAGACGTTGAAAATTTATTGAACAAGGATAATGTTGATAATGACCTTTAAATTTTTTTTTAAAAATTTTGGGTGAATTTTATGATACAGATTTCAATGGAATAGAACTCTTTATCGAAGTATGTGACTGCAAAATGTTACTCCGCAGTAGAAAAGAAATTGAACTTAAAACTCCATTAGAATCTCTTACTTTTATAATCCCGTATGGAGAAGATGTTTTTCCAAACCTGAGAGTGGCACTTCAAATACTCCTGACTATCTCAGTATCAATTGCTTGCTGCGAATGGTCATTCAGCAAATTAAAATTAATTTGACATATCTACGATCAATGATGGGACAAGATCGCCTCAGTGACCTAGCATTTTTAAGTGTGGAAAGAGAAAAATTTGAAATGATCAACTTTAATGATATTATTGATAAATTAACTTCATCAAAAGCGGAAAATTGTACACATAGTAATTAGTTTTATTAATGTATTATAATCATATTATTGAATATATGTATTTCCTTAGAGATAATAAATATTTACTTTTTTATTGTTTTAAAATATTTCGTTGTAAATATGTAAAATAAATAATAGGTATCTTTTGAACTAATCCTAGATGATCATATACATTTCAAAATCTAGTCTTGTATTCTCATCTAGATTTTTTGTCTCAAATTTAATGCCTAGCTTGAGCCTATGACTTTATTTATTTTTTACTTTGCGAGTATATTTTACTTATAATAATAGATGGTTTTCGAATGGGGGGGGGGGCGCTAAAAAGGTATTGTGCCCCGGGCACGAGTTAAGCTCTCTACGGCACTGCAGGGGTGGCGGACCTTTATACACCAACGTGCCATTTTCTCTAAAAAAATTGCTTAATGAGATCATAGACGTCCCGTCAAATAATTTTGACTTCGTGATTATTGAGAAAATAATAATACTAAATACTATCAACTCAAAACTCTTTAATTACAGTGAGAAAAAATACATTTTGCAATATCTCAGTTATACGCATAATTCAACTTAAAGTAACATCAGTGTGACTTCTGTTGTTGCAGATTAGATGACAAATAACTTATATTAGGTTGTAAGATGTTAGTTTAAGCAAGACTGTTAAATTATTTTTGCTAGTTATTTATTGTTAGCTTGTTTTTTATGGTTATTAATTGTTCTTTTAGCATTAATTTTAAATTTTTTTATTAATATTGTTTATTATTTCGTATTTTTTTTGTGAATTTTAATTTAATTGTTACATATGCTTCATAGTGTAACAACAATTATGATCGCTTGAGTGCCTAAAATATTGTGTCGCGTATCATAAATGGCACGCGTGCCATTGGTTCGCCATCCCTGTTATAGTAGCTGTAAGTGCATAAGATTTCCCCAATCTTTATGAAGTTTGGTATGCAAAGCGTATATCTATAAAACTAAATAATTTAAAATTAACTGTATTTGTAGTGATAAAAAGTTATATACCGAAAAGTAAAATTAATGGAGAAAGGAGAATTTTTTAAACTTTTTTCTTATCTCCAATGATGCTTGATTAATTTTGGTAAAAGGTATTAATTGGAATAAAAAAATTAGCTGCATACTAAAATGAGAAATTAATGGTGAAGTGGAGAAGCTTAGTAAATCACCATACTATTACTGATGCTTAATTTTCATAATAGATAATAACAAAAATAAAAAATAAACTAAAAAGCCTAATTAATGAAGGAATGGCACTAATTTGTTTAGGAGTCCCATGGTAGAATCGTCACGACATTATCACAGAACTATAACGAGTTCTTGCAGAAAGATTTTTCATTGGGAAGTAAAACATCAAATTTTTTTTTCTGCAGAAATTCTTGAAAGATTTTATCATTTCATCGGAATTATGTTCAAAAGATGCCTTTCTCGCGCATCTGAGTGGAAATAAATGCTTGTAATTTTTCTATTCTCATTTCAGAATAGTGTAATACAAAGAGTAATGAAGTAAAAACAATTGATTTTCTTTTCTGCAGAAATTTTCTTTTTAATTTTTTTATGCAGTTATTGCTATTGATTTCCATAGTTTTTAAAATTCTAAGATTTTTAATACATTATTTATTGCAACAACTGAATCTCAAAATGAAAACGAGCGTTTAGTGACCCTTTTTTGAAGAGTCCGATTCGCGTGATTTTGTTGTCAATATTTTTCTTCAGTAGTTACTGCTACGGATTTAATAATTTTATTATTATTTTTGTTAATGTGATGATAATTTACAAAATGCAAAAAAGAAATAATTAGTGTGTCTTCCCCCTAGAATATTACCCATAATATAGAATTAAAAAAAATATTACATATTCAATTAAAAAAATTTTTTTTTTGATCTGAAATGTTTTTTCTTTTTGAAGTTGACCTTCAGTTACTTTAATTTAGTATTTTAATTTTTTTAATTTAATTTAGTGCATATTTGTTATTTTTAAAAGTATCTTGCTGAAAGATATTTGTATTAGAGAGGTATGTCGCCGAAAGCCTGAAAAAACTCTGCCACAGGGTTTAGGAGAAAAACAAAAAATCACCGTACTATTTTTAACGCCAATGATGTTTAATTAATTTTAGTAATAGGTGCTATAATTGAAATAAAAAAATAAGCTATATACTGAAAAGCAATATTAATAGAGAATAACACTGATTTGTTTAGTAGGAACATAAAAATTGCCATTATTGATGCCAATGGTGTTTAATTAATTTTGGTAATAGGCACTTATGAATTTAATGGTAAACGGTGCAATTTTAATATAAATAATGTGGGAAGAGGTGTGTTACAGGCCTTGAAAAGGGCTAAGTACCAGGAAAAATTTATTGCGCAATAACATCATTTCAAAGATACTGATTACAATTACTCGTTATTTTGATGGGAGTAACTATTAAAAACGTGTTTTGCTTAATCTGATAAAGCCAAAAATATTAAATAACAAAATTGGAATTATTTTAGCTGTATTAATTCTGTTGATATATATATGTTTTTTAATTTTGTGCATGATTGCATAGTATTGTTCAGCCCTGATTTATTGATAGTTGAATTTTTTTTCCACCTTGTCCAGAGAATAGGTTTTCAGCTAGTTATAAATAAAAAGTAGGGCTCTACTTTATTAGCCCTAATTCATGTCGCTAAAATGCTGATGAAATAATTCAAGTTATTTTGGATAAAATAAAATATGCTTCTATTGTAAGCTTCACATTTTCGGCTTAATTTAATTTTCTTTTGCAAATCTTGATGTTATTTAATTTTCTTAAGACTTTTAGATGATAAAATGAAAAATGGCCAATTATATCTTGCTATTTCTGTTCATTTCAACAGGAGACATGGAGTTTAAAAAAAATATTTTAAATTAAAGATGCAATATTTTTATTTCTTTTATTAAAGCTAACATTTTTGCAGTTAGTAAATTTTTCCTATAAAGAACCTGTAAGCAAAACTCGACAAAGTTGAGAAACGTTTTTCTCACAGCTTGCACACTTTAATCAATTCAGATACCTTTTTAATACTGAAATTTTTAGATTCTCTCTATAAAGTTTAAAAATGCATACATTGGATGTAATTTTTTTACACTTGTTTAAAATGGATAATCTACATTATTTTATATTAAAAAAAAACTGACTTTTTAGCTGGAAGATGTCAAGTCACAGCCATGGCCAGTGTGGGAAGTGACCTCTACATCGGGACCACGTGGGGCTGTATTGTAGTTGCTGAAGGAACGACTATGAGACCAATCACGGTGTTTCGTCCTTTTGAAGAGGAGGTTAAAGCAATCTTACCACTTCTGGGCAGAAAAACAGAAAATAAGGATTCTTCTTCTCCAAATAATAACTACATACCATACATTGCAACAGTTGGTAAAGGCTATCGAAACCTAATTGGGCGCTATACACCCATTAATGCTCCTTTACCATACCAAGACAATATGTATTTATTATTATGGCGAGCTGATAACTGGGCTGCAACATAAATTTATTTCACGTATTCACATGTAAATTTGAATAGGCAATTGAATTGCTTTTTTGTGATATGTAAATTTTCTTGTACCATATAAAAATCTCTATCAATCTTCTTCTAAGAAGGATTTATCATATTTTTAGTGCTCTAGCTGTTGTACAGTTTGCATATCTGTATATATGAACATCTAAATACATAAAACATTTTCCTCCAATGAAATTGTCTGGTTAATTCAAACTATTTTACACACTATTGTTTTAAAGTACAGTAAAACCTTTCGGAGCAACTACTCTCTGTTCCACAGTAAAATGGTCGTTCTTTGCCGTTACTTCAAAATGTTATCAAAAGCACATAATTTTTCACAAACGATTTTAATTTTATTCAGTGTCATTTGTTTGGTGCGGAAATGCCACTTGTGGTGGCGTCGTGACAACCGTATTGATGAATAAAATTTAGCGTCAATAAAAATTACCCATACTTCATTATGTGTAATAACAAATTTACCTATTATGAGTACTATTTTAAATAAATAAGCAATTAAGTTTTTTTGTTTAAGTTTGCATTAAGTTTGACAACGTTTTGGGCAAATTGTAAAACTCTTGCTCATAATTACAAAATTCATTTAACCAAAGACCATTCAATACAATAAATTTTTAATAATTATTCATTCTCTATTTAAAAATAGAAAAAAAAATTGAATTGTAAGGTGTAAAAATTTTTACATTCTTTTAAAGAATGTAATATTATAAAGTAAAATTGGAACAAATTCAGTTTAATAGTTCTTGAGTGATTGAATTTTATAGAAGTTGGTATATTTAAAATCAGATTTTTTACAAACTAATTGACAAAGTTAGGTATTTTGCCAGATAATATTACATTCTTTAAAATGTAAAAATTTGTCTATTTTATAATGAAATATTTTTTGATTATTTATTAAGTAAAGTAAATGATAATTGCCGTCTGCACAAATTAATTAGCAAATGAGGTCACCCCTCGAACCGTTAAGAATAAGTCTTGGAAAGTTAAGATGATTGCAATGAATCTACTGTTATGTGCAAATTTTTGTGATTCGATGTGTGTCTAGACAAATGAAAAATAACAAACAGAATAGGTTTTCAATGAAAGACTTTTCCTTTAATTATCCATACATTCATGTCTAATGAACTCCACTGCACAGTGGTACATCAACTGAAAAAGCTCACTTCATCTCGCTGCATTACATTTTCACAGTTAATCACTGCAAAAATTAAAAACAAACGACAAATACAGATGGCAAATGACATGTAAAAAAAAATGTTTTAAAGGGGCTACATTATTTAGCAAAATTATGAGCAAATAAAGAGAAGCCAGGACCACCCAGGTGTCCAAAATAAAAATAAAAAGGAAAGATACTTTTCATAATTCATTTTTTTTTGTATCCTCATCTGCTAATAATATTAAAAAATAATAATAAAATCTTTCAGAATGTTCCACTGAGCAATCACACAAAAATGTGCTACTAGCATATACAAACAGTTACAAGACACCCAGTGAAATAATTAGTGGAAAAATCAATTTGTTTCATTGATTTGCCTTTTTAATTAAAAAAAAAAATAAAACAAGAACATAATAGAATATTGTGCAATCTTGCAAGACATAATTAAAATAAAAAGTTCCAAATAAAGACTAGGTTGCTGTGCTGTCACTCGGTAACTCTCTCTCTCTCTACAGGTGATTAAAAAAAAATTTACAAATTCCAAATCTCAATTGGAAAAATAAAACACAGGATTAAGAAGGGGAAAAAAATTATTATTTCACTGGGTTTGATTATAAGTTTTGACAGATCTATAAAGAGTGATAAAAATCAGTTTAATGTCTTTATCCAGTTTTGAAAAGAAAAGCTACTTCATAACTGCTAACTTGGGAAGAATCAATCAAATCTAAATTGTAATTTTTACAAAACATTTGATTAAACAATATAAATTGACAAGGATTTTTACACAAAACTAAATCACAGTTTAACATCAAATTATTACTAAGTTTGTTAAATTCAGTTTCCCAGTGACAAAATGTTTACTGGTAAAAAATATAAAGAATACGTTACTGTCGGTGTATGAAATCCAACATTATATAGAATGCCTGATATCGACAGGCCAAGTATGAAATTATTAATATTTCACACTACACCTAAGCATTTTACAGAAGGACCAATGAATAGTTTACAGGCCTTCCATACAATGTTTAGGGAAAGTGTAAAATAATTCAATTTCAGATTTGACCGAAATATGCATACACGGACAAATATAAAACATTTAAACTGTTTTTAATACATTTTTAGATTTACTTCAAACATTGCAATGTTATTTTATAAAAGCTAGAATTTAAATTTACAAATAGTTAGAATAAAACAAATTTAAAAGCCTTTTTAAAAATATTTCAGATTTTTAAAATTTTTACATTTAACAATAAAAAAAAATTAATATTAAGGGCATAATTTCCAAAATATTGATGTAGACAGCAATTTAAGACTGAAATTTTTATATATCGTAATAAATTTTTTTTAGTATGAAGTTTACATATGATAGTTCTTATACTAAAATCTTAACAGCATTTTAAACAAAAATGACATTTCAGCACGGAATTTACACCGATTCCTTTATTAACATTTTTAATTAAAAATCAAAAGAATTTTTAGTTAAAATTTCTTTTTAGTATGGCACTTACCCCAAATAATTATTTACCAAAAGAGTTTTTAATTACAAATTCTTCTCAGGAGGAAATTATCTTATAATTCCACGACTAATATCTCAAGTATTTTTAACACAAAATTTTTCCAGTAAAAGATTTCACTTAAGATAAACTAAAATTTGATAAAATTTCAATTGATAATTTCAACTCAAGATTTTAAATTCAAAATCATTGCCTTAAAAGCATTTAATTCAAGAAAGTTACTCTGCTAATTGCAGATTATTGCAATAAAAATAAACAGTTTACGAAAACATTCTAACATGAATATCAATAGTATCCAAAGTTGGCAGCTATGCTACTAGCATATAAAGGATAAAAGGGTAGGGAGATTGATAAAATTTGAGCATAAGTGCAAAGGGGAACAGAAAATTGGCATTGCAGATTTACACCACACAAAAACATAGCTTATGTGGGTGGTCTTTTTATTAAAAAAAATCATTTATTCAATTTTTATCTATTGAGTAGATTTTAAGGAAAATGGGTGAAAATCACAGCGATTTAAATTTATCATAAATTTCAAGTGGGAAAAAAATATAAAATTGCATAAGCTACACACAGTCGTTCAAGCTCAAACATAGACACAAAAAAAAATTTTTTTTTTCTTCTTTGTTTAAAACGTCAGTAAAACAGTTGAAGAGATTTTCAAATTTTTTTTTGAAATTTTTAAACAAAGTTCGTTTGAAATTTTCATCAAAAATGAAGTACAACAGCCATTGGAGGAGGAAAAAAAAGTCCTTTTCTTTATTAATTAATTAATTTTAATTTTCATAGAATGAGTTCTTCCAAACCAGTTTGTCTTGGTGGTCGTTTTAGATTTCCGATTCAGAGGTGAGGCGTGAGACTTTCGGTGTATACACGGAAGCGTTAGGATCCAGATTAGATTTGGCGACTTTTTCCTCACCCATGTACTTGGGAGAGTACAGGAGAGAGGAAACTATTCCAGAGGCGAGACTGATGGCTGGTTGATTAGGGGAATAACAGTTAGGACTGGATGTAACAGGCATTACAGCCATTACTTCGGCAATCTTGGATTTTAGTTCGTCAATTTCTTTGTCCTTCTGTGCCAGCAGAGCTGTGAAAAAGTTAAATAATACATTTTTATTCTTTAAGAAAACTTGAAGTAGTGAACAACTACAAAAACAAAAGATAACTTCAGCAATGAAACAATATTTCAAACACAAAAATTTGGGGGAGAGATTACATATGAGCTCAAGCCAAGACTTCAGTTGACAACACTCCAAGACAAGATTAATAAAACAGGGAACAACTCCATTTCAAGTCTCATTGGAGAGACAAAGAAAAACTATTATATAAAAAAGGTTATAGAGCGTGTTTTTTAGATTTAAATAAGCATTATCTATAAAAGATGTTAACGTTATTTATAAAATATAATAAACACTAACATTAATAAACATTATTTATAAAATATAATAAACGTTAATAAACATTATTTATAAAATATTATTAATCATACAGAATTTATAAAGATATGTAAAGAATTAAGCAAAATAGGTATAAACTAATAAATTCACATTACCTAAGTATATTAATAAATGGCCCCTAATAGATTTTTATTACAACTTGTTACTTGGTTTAGAATTTCTTTATTGAAATGATTAAAAATATTTAAATAATTTTCAAATGTAAATTAAATTAGTATTGAAGCCAAACATTTTTGTCAGAAGTACATGGTCCCTACACTTATAATATTTAACAAATCTGAGTTAATTGAATTTTTTATTTCAATTGTTTTAAAATCAAATCATTAACATATGAATTAAATTTTTTTGGAATGACAAATCTGAAAAATAGATGATTTTTTGCTGCATTTAATACAATGAAAGCCCCTTCACTTGTCTCTAAATATTATTGAGTTTTTTTCATATAACAATTGAAGAATACTGAAAAATTTAAAAATATAATAAAACGTAATAAAATACATTAAAAAGATTAAATTTTTAATGTATTTTATTAAATTTTTATGCAATTAGTGGATGGTCTCTTAAATAAGTCTTATGATAAATCTCAATTGATTCTTACATTTATTAAATTTCGAGGAGATAAAGCTTTGTGATTCTTTATTGCTCTGGAGACTAACATGAAAATATGTTATTAGTGAATGATCCCCAAGTCAAGCTCAAGAATCATGGAACTGAGGAGGAGGCCCATTAGCTAGCCAGCGACAAAGACGGAGGCCCTTCACCAACTTTGAAATTAACAAGAGAAAAAAATTTCCTTTTATTGTTATGGACAAAAAATTGACAATGTTTAGTTGGTCCCCATGACAGTTGCACACGAGAGTGCAGGAATTCTTACCACCGAGCCCAGCTCAGTTTATGTACATGCAGATCTGCAAGTAACATGTAAAAAGATTGCTTCTTTCATTCGTTAGGAACCTACAATATGCGGAAATAGATTGCGGTTGAATGAATTGTGAAAACGTTGAACAGAACAATGTGAAAACGATGCTTTTAATTTGTTGCAAAAATCGACATGATAAAGAAAAAATCTCATTTTAGAAAACAGAAAATTAAGAACTTTTTAAAAACACCCAATGAAAAACGCACCTTTAAGGACTTTTAAAAAACGAAAATCAAAAACACAGAGAAACGTCCATACTCTGAGCAGATTCGTACCCACCCATTAACTTCACAGTCAAGCTCGCAAACCGCAACTGGACAGCTAATAGTGCCTTATACTTCAGAACAGGGTTGGCAAGGTTTAGGACAGAATGGATTAATCCACGGTTTAAACCGTCCTGTCTTAAACTGTCCAAAACTCTTTTAATCAAATTATGTCACAATTTTATCTGAACAATATTTAAGAGGTAAAATAAACATAGAACTTATAACCAGGGATGAGATTCTTCCGCGGATTTCCGCTTTTTTTCAGATTTTTCCATTTTCCCCGCTAATTTCCGCTGAAATTTTTTTTTGNCAGTAAAACCCACGTGTCCTGTCCAAAACCAGTTTATTACGTCCTAAACCCCAACCCTGCTTCAGGATATATCAAAATAGAGTTCAAAGACAGTTTTTAACATCTGTACAACCATTGAAAATGCTTTGCAGCTAATGGCAGTTAAATTATTTTGTATTTGTTTACATCTGGTTTTCTTTATTTGACAAGATCATTCACAAATTTTCTCAAAGAGTTTTTATATTTTAGCTACACTTTAAGATCAGAGAACAGTTAATCGTACACCTTAAGATTTGAATAGCCTTAAATCCATTTGCGTTTAGTATTCTTGTAAAAGTACAGTTCCTTTTTTCAAAAAAAATAAATAAATAATGGCTTATTTCATAATTAGGTATTATTTCACAGAAACAATTTAATTCTGTCTATCATAATATATTAATATAGAAGTCCTAGCACAGTGCATTTTTAAAGGGGTTACATAATTGTAAGAAATATCGATTTCGTGTAAACAAATTACTAGTAGTTCTTTTTTTACATAACTGTTTTTCATATATAGACCACTTTTTATGAAGTAATATACAAAAGATACTGTGTATTATGTGTATTTTAAGTGTTAACATTAATAGGAGATCCTGCACAGCTTTGTTACAAGAATAAAAAGGACACTGCGAAATAACTTACTTTGTGCGATTTCCAGCTGACGCTTAGCTTCTCCTAATGCTGAGAAGAGATCTAATTTCAGTCTTGTCTCTGCACTAAGACTAGTTTCAAGACGAGCATTTTTCTCTTCCATAGCATTCAGAGCAGAAACCAAAGCTTGCGTACTTCCGATGTTTTCCTGGTATGAGGACAAAGACTGAAAATAAATACTCGCATATCACAGCTGATGTCAGTATACAAGTTATAAAACTTTAAACACAAATAATTCACTATAATGGTTTTGTAAAGTGTGCAATATATATATATATATATATAGAAATGCACAATTTCAAATTTCAATGTCATAATATAATAAAAATTAATTCGATCTAATTGTAGCCAAGCAAACAATCAAAAAAGTGGCAAATTTATCAGATTAATTAAATAACTCTTGTCCCAAATCAGAATTTGCAACAAAATTGCTACTCATTAAAATTTAAGTTTAAATTAAGGCAATTTTTCTAGCGAACAATCTTTTCAATGCTTACCATTTCTGAATTAGTTCTTTAGATTACCAATTTTAAAATTTTGAATGTGTCTGATGCTTAAATTTAGAGTATTATGGAATTTCACCCCCTCGAAGTTTATCTAAAGTTGTGTTATTCTCTAATAAATCTGCGTAAAAAAAAGTTGTTATTGCTTGTGAATAAGAACTTAGGAAGAAAATAAGGAGGATGTTTGTAAGGCTGGATTTAATGTCTCATCAACAAGATTTGAAATTTAAATTTTAGATTAGTGAAATTCCAAGTAAATTTTGTCGTAATATAAATTATTGATCCCGAATTATCAGAATAATGACATGCCTGAAATTTTACACCTTGCAATTCAAAAAGTTTTTTTACTATTAAATAAAAAACAATACTAAATAATAAATGATTTTTTTTTTACATGGAATTAACTTTGGATAAAGAAATCTTATGAATGCATGCAAAATGTTTTTATTTTTCCTAAAAAGTTATCAAGATGTGGCGAATTTTGCGAAAAGTAAAATTATTACTAACGGGTCCAAATTTTCAACTACTCTCTAGGCCAAATTATTAGGACCACATGTCCCAGATTGTAGCTACCCCCTATATTTTGGGGTCAGAAATCAATCCATCAAGAAAAGCTTTGTTTATTTAGAAAAAATGGTAGTAGTGTCTGATTTTGTAACTTAAATATCTTAAAATATGGTCTGTTCTAACTAATTAACATATTTGAGGATACCTCCCCAAGCAATTAAGATGGAGTTCTAAAAAATCTGATCATAAGTTATTCAGGGTGTTTAATTTATTTTTAGAGGCACAGTAAAATACACTTGATATAAGAACCTTCCTGCAGTTTTCTCAATAATTAGATCAGCTTTAAGTTAAGCTAAAATTATATAACATATATTTAAAATATAAAATTAAAATTATTTTCTTAATGATAATTAAAAGAAAATAGCTCTGAATATGCAACTAAAACATTTCTCACCTGTGCTTGTCTTTCTAACTGCTGGAGTTTTTCATCCCGAAGCTTTAAATCTCGCCGTAGCTGTTTTGTTTCATTTTCTAGTTCCCTTCGTCGAGATTTACAATTTTCTGTGCATTCCGTTCTAATTTAAGAAAAAATTGGATCATACATACATTTAAAAAGACACAAGCTAAAGTATACATTTTAGCTATCAGAAAGAAAGTTTTATCGATTTAATTATAAATGAATAATCCAAATAATGATGAATTTATTAGGTAATAAGCGTAGTATTTAAAATTGAATTTTCGCATATTTTTGTTTAATTTAGTATGTATGTAGAAAAATTATGTGTTTTGTTGACTTTTCCGTGTGACTCTTCAATCAAGAATAAACTCCACAAAATTTAACATTTGATATAATGATAACAGTAGATAAAGAAGGGCAACAATCACTTTATAAAAGGTTAAATCTGAGAAATTTGTTTATTCCCAATCGCCATGCCCTCCAATTTCCTGAATAATTGAAAATTCATTGCATTAGTACAGTGTCAAGCTGTTTCAGGGAGATGCAAGAAACATACCGAACTATTATTCATGCTTAATTGTGGTAAAATGTACTGTAAGTAATCTTGTAATAGGTACTATACATATATAAGTATTGTGGCAATTAGTTTTAAGACTCCCTGAAAATGATAAGTACCTTTAACACTTATTTCAATAAAAGCACAAGGCTTAAACAAGATGTGACATAGCATATATTTACTTTCTGCATCAATTCAGAATTCAAGATTAGTCAGTTTTGTTAAGTCAGCAAGCTTTTGGCTTGCCTGACTTAAAAGTGTTGATGTGTATGGCTCACAAGTGTTTGAAGAAAAGAACCCAAGGAAACTTGGAAAGAAAAAAAGCCATCAGCAAGTGGAGCGAACAGATGATGACATGCAAATGCATTCTTAGTCANTAAGGGCCCTTAATTTTCAAAATAAAAACTAAGCAGTTTTTAAGGATTTTTAAGGAGCGTGGGAACCCTGTGTAATCATTTATGAGGAAGTATTAATTATAGTTAATTTTACATATAAGATAATTTGTATATTGTAATTGATCATTCAATCCAAAAAAAAAAGTTATGTAACTTAGTAGCTTTAATCAGGTTGCGTAGCCAAATTTTTTTCAACAAAAAAATAAGCACTTTTCAATATTTAATATTTTATAGCATAGTTTTTGACAATTGTCAAAAATCCTGAAATCTTGAATCATGTAAAACGACCGGCGTTTTGATACGCTACGGACCGACAGTACGCAGATATGGATTGGGGCTGAATTAATTGTGAAAACGTTGAATAGAACAATGTGAACAGCGTTTTTTTTTGCATAATTCGTGGCATCACGAATTATGCAAAATTCGTGGCATCAGCATATGGCATCACGAATATTCGTGGCATCACGAATATTCGTGGCATCACGAATATTCGTGGCATCACGAATTTTTTGCATAATTCATGGCATCAGCAAGTGGAGCGAACAGATGATGACATGCAAATGCATTCTTAGTCATCTTCTTTCCCNAAGTACCTTTAACACTTATTTCAATAAAAGCACAAGGCTTAAACAAGATGTGACATGCATATATTTACTTTCTGCATCAATTCAGAATTCAAGATTAGTCAGTTTTGTTAAGTCAGCAAGCTTTTGGCTTGCCTGACTTAAAAGTGTTGATGTGTATGGCTCACAAGTGTTTGAAGAAAAGAACCCAAGGAAACTTGGAAAGAAAAAAAGCCACCAGCAAGTGGAGCGAACAGATGACATGCAAATACATTCTTAGTCATCTTCTTTCCCAGCAGGTATTCTTTCTTAAAAGGATCAAATTGCAAAAGTTGATATTTTGTAATCATTTAAGAGGAATATTAATTATAGTTAATTTTACATATAAGATAGCTTTAATCAGGTTGAGTAGCCAAATTTTTTCAACAAAAAAATAAGCGCTTTTCAAGCACTTAAAAATATTTTCAAGCACCTAAAAAAAAATTTTGGCATAGTTTTTGACAATTGTCAAAAATCACGAAATTTTGAATCATGTAAAACGAACAGCGTTTTCATACGCTACAGACTGATGGTATGCAGATATAGATTGGGGTTGAATTAATTGTGAAAACGTTGAATAGAACAATGTGAACAGTGTCTTTTTGCATAACTCGTGGCAAAAATAAACATGGCAAAGGAAAAATCTCATTTTGGAAAAGGGAAAATTAAGTACATTTAAAAAACACCTAATGAAAAAAGCACCTTTAAGGGCTTTTAAAAACAAAAATAAGCACCTTTAAGCACTTTTTAAAAACACTATGCACCCTGTTAATTCGTATTTAAAATTTTGTGACTAATTCATTGAATTATAAATTTACTGAATTATAACCTAAAGAGTTTAGTTAATGAATAACATTTCAGTAATGGATAACTAAATACCACACAATCCAAGCACTATACATGGATACAGTGAAAATAACTTATTTGCATGACATGAGAGTTCATTAGCTCTATATAGTTTTTTTTAGCTACTAAATATAATGTTTATTCATTTCTCAACGATATAACATATTAGTTTCTAAACTAATGTACCTTGCAGATGCCATTGCAACCGCACGGGCTGCCGCAGCTTCTTCAGCTTTCTTTGCTTTTCTTTCAGCTGCAAGTTGGCTTTCACATAGTGTTCTCATCTTTCTTTCCTCTTGCAGTCGTTTTTCAAGCGAAGAAATTGTCTGCTTGTCTTGTTGTCGAGCTGCAGCAAGACTATGCAATCTATAATTGAAAGCATTAATAAAAAGAAATCAAATATTTAATTTAAAGAAACCTAATAACGTCTCTAAAATAAAAACCATACTTACTTATGATTAAGAGTTTCATTATCTTGCTGCAACTGCAAAAGTTCAGTTTTTACAGAACGTTCACCAACAGAAATGCTATGAATCTGACTTCTGAGGTCTTGTTCCGACTGCCTACTCGTTTGCAGATCAGATTTCAGCCTCTTTATATCAGCTTCAAGTCTATTAACGGTATAAAAGAATAAATATTTTTTAAATATTACTATCAAACTTGAATGGCAAAAATTAAGATATAAGAAAAGAACTCATTTGTCCCAATTATGTAATTTTGTAACATATTCTATAAAAAGAAAAAAAAAACAATAAGCTGTGAAATCAAAATCAGCTGTGAATTCAATAGCAACTTCTTTTTTTTTTATAAGAATTCGTTTTTAATTATTCTATTTAGAATAATCAAAATTTGAATAATCTTTTTTGATTATTCCATTTAGAATTAACTAAATAGAATTCATGTTTAAATTCCATTTAGTACATTCTATCAATATATGCTGATAAACATGAATTATTATTGATTGGCAAATTGAGATACCACAATTGTTATAAAAAAAAAGATATCACAAAAACAAAGTAAAAGATATCCATGTTTGAAAAAAGAGAAACTGCCTAGTATAAAACCAGAAATTTAGAAAGAAAAAAAGAAAAACTATTCAAAATATTTTTTTTATTTTTATAATGGACTTGAAAAGCAGTTGAGAAGATTTTGTGTCCAGCAAATTAACTTACAATATTTGATTAACATAGTTTAAATAACAAATTCAATATTATATAATAACACTTACTATATTATAGTTTTTTAACTAAACAAATTGATATATATGAAGATCAAGAAGTCAGAAAATATAACACATGAAAAATATTTAATATATCACAGAATAATGAAATATTAGTCTTACTTAGATGCATACAAATAAAACTAAGAATTAAAATATTAAAAACGTGGTAGAACATCTTAATTAACAAGCTTTATAACTTAAAGAAGAAAAATAGCCAATCATTCCTTAGAAAACTACTTTAAAAAATTTAGCTTGCCAACACCTTTTTTTAGCCAATGGATTTAAAGTTTAGATTCATTTGTAAAAATTCGGTGCAAAGTGTAAGTTGGAATTTTTTAATTTCATTAAAATGAACATTAACTCAGTTAAATTCCAAAAACATTAAAACTTTACAAAGGAATCCAGTGAATGATCCCCTATATCAGGGATGGCGAACCAATGGCACGCGTGCCATTTTTGGCACAATATTTTGGGCACTCCACCGATCACAAAGTTCACTATGAAGCATATTAACAATTAAATTAGAATTCACAAAAGACAAATATAATAAATAAACAAATAATAAAATATAAATAATAATAAAATAATGAAATAAATAATAAAAAATAATAATTAACAAAAAAATTAACAATTAATTCCAAAAAAACAGGCTAACAATGAATAACTAGCAAAAAAAATTAACAGTCCTGCTTAAACTAACATGTTACAACCTAATATAAATTATATGTCATCTAATTTGCAACAATAGAAGTCACACTGATGTTACTTTAAGTTGAATTACGCATATGACTGAGACATTGCAAAATGTGTGTGTTTTTTTTTTTTAAATAATAAATAGAGTTTTGAGTTGATACTACTTTGTATTATTATTTTCTCAATAATTGCGAAGTCAAAATTATTTGACGGCACGTCTATGACCTCATTAAACAATTTTTTAGAAAAAATGGCACGTTGGTGCATAAAGGTTCGCCACCCCTGCCCTATATTAAAGAATATTATTATAGATTAGAGAATAAATATGCCTTTCGAAGAATCCAAATTGCCAATTCTCAATCAATGCACTTTTTTTTACACATTTTAAGAACTGCATTAGTAAAAATTTTCACCAGTGAAATAAATTTTTAACATCCTCAGAAAAATAACAAAATAAGGAAAAAACAACAACCCTAAAAATTAAGAATTTTAACAAGAATCACATGCCTGTTACATAAGGGTAGTTTTGAACAATTACAACTATACGCAAAACTACAGATCAATCTATATTATATAAAACGCTAATACGTACGTATGTATCAATAAAACCGATGATATTTCTTTTCTCGCGCTGGCAACAGTTTTCATTTTTAATTGATTAGATTCGGCGCGCAAGAGCACATAGTGAGCATCATATGCCCTGTGGCAGAATTTTCTTGGGATTTCTGCGACAAACCTCTCTAGCACTAATATCTTTCTGCAAGATGCTTTTAACAATAACAAGTATGCATGTTACGAATTGAATTTGAAGTAACAGAAACGTTGCGTTCACAATAAAAAAAATTTTTTTTGAATAAAATAAAAATCGTATTTAATTTTTAAATGAATATGTAATGTTTTTTTTTATATTATTATTCTAATACAATGGCGAGATTCTCCCATTTTGTACGAAGAAAACACACTAATTGTTTCCTTTTTCGCATTTCGTAAAACATCATCTCCGCAAAAAAAAATTAAAAATCTTGTAATCCGTAGCAGTGACTGCTGAAAACAAGATAGACGGCGAAATCACGCTGATCGGACTCTTCAAAGGGAGGGGGGGGTGTTACTAAATGCTTGTTTCGTTTCGAGATTCGGTTGTTGTAATAAATATTATCGTATTTAAAATATAGGATTTTAAAAAGACTGTGTGAAATACATGACCCCAAAAAAGAAAAACGATAGAATCATTGTTTTAAATATTCATAAGCACGATTCGAATTCCCCATATTGTCAGAAATATATCGGGATACTTAAAAATCACGGGAAAATCAATATCAATAAACTGCCGAAAATACAATCTAAACACTACATGGATTTGTGGTAGTATCGGCATGAAGTGAGAGCGTCAAAAAGATATTATTTAATAGCGCAATTTAAATTTTACGTGTAGAAGTAATATTGACTAAAAAATAACAGGAATTTTAAAAATCCTATGGAATTCAGTAGCATAGCACATGTAACAAAAAGCCGAAAAACGGTGAAATCGTCACAGTAAAAGTAAATAATTGATTTCAGTTTCGAGTATAATTAAACTGTATAAAAAACATCGGGATTTGTTTCGCTTAAAATTATGAAAATAGAGCGTGGATTAACAAGAATATTGGCGTAAAATAAGCGTGTCAAAAGAATGATTTCTGGGGGGGGGGNGGGGTGGGGAATCGTTCAACATTTCCGCAGAAAAGAAATTTCTTTCCTTATTATTCTATATTTCTCATTCTTAAATTAGAATAGAAAAATCAGGAACATTTCTTTCCTCTCTGATGTGCTAAAAAGGCATCTTTTAATTATAATTTTAGAAAAAAAAAATTCTGCAGAAAAGAAAACAAAAATTCCTTACTTCCTAACAGAAAATTCTTTCTGCAAGAACTCAGCAACATTCTGCGACAATGTCGCTGTGTCGCCGCGATTCTGCCACGGGGATCATATGGCTAATCCATGTTAGATAAAACGCTAATACGTTTTAATTGATAGGCTTCGGCGCGCAAGAGCACGTAGTGAGCATCATATGTCTATCTATCTCCGATTGTCACCGAGAAAAAAACGGTTGGTTGGTTATGAGTACTGAAATAGTTCCTTTTCATTGGCAGAAATGAGAAGTGTTATGCTATTGCTATTTTATTTTGAATTGAGCGCTTTACTATTCCACGTTTTGTTATATTATCTTTACATCCGGCGCTCAGTGGCAGACTACTATTTCATATTGTTTTACAACACATGGCTTTAGCCCTTTTGTGGGAAAGACTTTAAAACAAAACTTACAACAGTTACTTTTCTCAACAGTTAAGAAAAATCTGTGAACTGTTTGCAATTTCAAATTAATATTGAAATGTACAGGTTTAGAATTTTCTACAGTGAAAATTTTTCGGAACTTCAGTGTTCAAAAAAGTATACAAAAGCTAGACTTTAAGAATGTATCCAATGAGCGAGTAAAGCGAGCATCGGATTGCGAAACAATCCGAAATGAACTGCGAAAGCAGTTCAGGGGGTTGGCGAGCACCAGCGAGCAGGGGCGAAGCCTCCTAGTTAAATGAAAAATACAAACAGATGAAACATTTTTCAAACTACCAGTTCTTGAAAGGATTGAACCCAATCACTGATATTCAACACATTTTAAGGATTGTTTGGATTTCTTTTAGGTGTAACTATATTTAACACTTACAACTATGGTAATTTAGTATTATGACTTTTAACAGGCCTTGGTAGTGAGCCAAAGAAAAAAAAAATCAGAGTAATATTTTTCAAAAAATCTGAACATTTTTGTGGCACTACATTTAAAAAAGCAAACTATAGATCATAAAAAGTATAACAAAAGAAATTTTTTCCTAAAGAATCATATACTATTTTTAAGTTCAGAATTACTTTGTTCAGAACAGTGTAACTGTTGTTTCATAAGCACTTCATATAAATAAATAAAAAACCAGAGTCAGCTAATATTCCCTCATATCAGTAACTAAACTTTGATAAAGAGTTCTAGACTTTTTTAATGAAATAACTTTATAAGGTTTTAATTATCTCGAACCAAATACAAATCCATTAACATTTTTAGTAAAATTATATTTTGGATGATTCATAAATTCTCTATCTAATAATTTTGTATTACTGCAGTGTATTGCTAATTGGAATCAGAAATTTTTAAAATTAGGAAAAAAAATTAATTAATTGCAAAACTAGAGCAGTTAAAGTTCAGGGCCAATTAGTGTTAATTTTAATTAAGATAGGGTGACCCGGGGTAATTCACGATCACTCTGTTTCTGGGGTAAATAATGATCACCTAAGTTTTATTTCAAAAAAAATTTTTTTTTTTTAAATTTAAGACATGGGCAAGAATGCTTGTATACTTTACTAAAGTATAACTACATTTACTTAATAACAATTTTTTGTTTAATCTAACAAAATAAGTATCTTTTAAACTGCTTTCTGTATTTTCCATTTCAAAGATGGGTTTCAAAATGTACACATTTCTGCATTCTCTTAATAATAAATATTTTGAGTCACTTTCTTTTTCTTTAATATAAAAGTAGTGTAAGCTTTTGTTTAATTGTTTCACGTCTACTGCAAACATTATAATTGATTATAGGAAACTATATCAAATGCTGCCCCCTACACATGGGGTAATTATTGACCACTGGGGTAATTCCTGATCATTGTCATTTCTTCTTATAAATAGTATATAAAATAGCTTATAAATACCTAATTGTCTTTTCTTAAATAACAGTTCATATTTATTAAGTGGAACAACTATAAAGTATATTTCAATTGTCATCACAAAATTTGTTTTTAACCGTATACAAGACTGTATTCTGATTTGCACCATTTCTGGTTTGTCTGACCTTGCTTCTATCTTAATTTTATGTGCATACATCCTTAGAATAATTTTTAAGTTTATAAATTAGCCTATTATAAATATGGTGAGAAATTATAAGCCTAAAAAGGATACTAAGCTTCTAGAAAACAAAATTAGTGAATTTCTTTTAATGATTGAAAATGAAAATTTCAGTGTGAGAGCTGCTGCCAGAGCTGTTGACATACCTTACTTAGCTTTACACTTTCCCTTAAAGAAGTTAAAAAATCCAGCAAAAGTAACCCATGTGGGAACTCTCTTATATTTCAGAAGAACATGAGAATGAGTTGGCTGATTGCCTAAAATGTATGGCACGATGCAAAGATTTTTGAAAATTTAAAGTGTTAATCGTTCTTCTTGCTTTTAAATAAATCATTTTATTAGCTGCTTAAACATATCTTTTTGGTTTATTTGTTTGATCTTGATGTCTTATTTGTTAATTACCATTATATAATTATTTTTCAACAGCCCCTTTACAATAAAAACTGGTGATCAGTAATTACCCCAGAAGTGATCAGGAATTACCCCAGAAATGATCAAGACCAGGGGTAATTCCTGAACACTAAAAATTTAAAATCTCTTAAATTCTAATTAGATTTTCAAACAAAAGAAGGTGGCATTGGACTCATCTCATATAGCCTTAAACTTCCAGTAAATATTAAAATTTTATTTTGAATAGTTTTTTCACAAAATAGATGTTTGCGTTTTTTGATCAGGAATTACCCCAGGTCACCCTAATTGAAAAAATTTAGCATACAATTATAAAATTAATTATTTAAAGATAATTCCTGGTTAAAACTAATTTTTAATAATTATTTACTACTTTCTATTTTTTTACTTATTTGTGGTCAAACAATTGTAAGGTACACAAATTTTAGCACCATTTTAAACTCATTTTAATTAACAAAATAATCAAATAATTTTTGAGAAATGAGAAAGTATAAAATTTTACTTTCTGAAGCTTACACTGTTAAAAAGAATATTGTTTTACTTAAAGTTCCATCATGTTCTTACAAAGGATAAAAAGTACTTTATTCTTCCTTTTTTAATCATTGGTTTTAAAAGATGGCTTTATTTCTTTGCGTGTATATATTTTACGCAGCAAATGTATCATTTACATGTTTTATTTTTTTTAAAATTGAAAAAAGCATTTAATTTTAAAGATACTTTTAAAAGTATTTAAAAGTATATTTAAATTTTAAACAAGTTTTTTAACACTTTATGCAGAAAAAATAATAATGAATAGTTAGTTAATAATTAATATTTTTTTTACAATGTTTAAATAGCTGTTTAAAAATATTAGATAAAATAATAGAAATAAATTTCAAGACACATAATGAGATTGTTAATTATTAATCAATGCTAGAACCATAATAGTCCTCAACTTTTTATTTTTATTTTTTATAAATTATCTAACAAACTTTGACTGGCAATGTCTAATAATTATGAATTTAAATCAATCATTTATATTTCTTTTAGAAGATGCAGCATTAAGTTTTTCTTTTTCATAATAAGAAACCAACACATAAAGAAACCCATAAACTAAAAATGGAAAAATATGAAGTAATACAAGGTACACAAGAAACACTGAGTTCTTTCTACCCGTTTTTAAAAGGGCAGTCTGCCCTATCTGCCCTTTTATTCCTTATAAATGTGCTCTATTGGCTTCTTTTTGTAAAAATAAGTCGCCATCCCTGAAAAACAGCACCTTTTTATTCATATTAGACTTTAAAAAACTTAATTCCCTGTTAAAACAATAATTTCCCACTGGTAAAATTATCTGTGTTTATAGGTCAGGTAAATAAAAAAAAATGCACATTTAAATGTTCATTTCTTCACAATTTTCAGTTTGAATTATAGAAAGAAGCTTTCAAGTTCTTTATCAATTATTTTTTTTTCCCCCTTTGAAAAATTTTTTTTTACAGCGATTGTCTTTTAAAATGTCTTTAATTACTTTTTATAAACTACAATTTTTTCTCTTATTTTGATCATGAGTGATAATTACTTGAAATATACATATAAATAGTATAAGAAGGTAATTAAAAACATTTTGAGGATCAAATTCAGTTAATCAAACATTTTGATAAATTTTTACACTGTGAGTGCCCTTTCAAAAGTCAAAGCGTCTTTTTCTGCGAGGAAGCACCCAACCTTTTTTTTTTAATTCCTAGAGAGAACTCTGGAAACAATTTAATAAATAAAACTTAGTTCATTATGATAGGAGCCTTCGTAACGAGCAACTGCATTAATAAAATTTTCCTTTCCCTCAAGCAAATGATTAAAAAAGAACTTTTATTCTAAATCCAAAATTTTGAAAAATGTCCATTTCAAATATTCAAAAGAATTAATGAATTCCAATACAAGTAACAGCACTCATTTAGATTAATATTAATGAGTAACCAGTGTATACATTTGAGCAGAAAGTAACCAGCAGTTTTACAACTTGAAACTTTAAGTGTCTTGAAAAATGTGTTCAACATAATTTTAAAATGAAAGTGCACAAAGATTCGAGTTATTTTAAAGTTTGGTTAGACATTAGGTTTAGGCATTGCTTTTTAAATTAATTACATATTTCATTTCTAATTTTTATTGAAATTAATTTGACTTGTGACTTACAAACAAGAATGTACAATTATGTATATACAAACATGTCAAAATTTATTTTCAAAATGTTAGGAGCCTATAAACAAAACTGTAGGACGGGTGCACAACCTGAGGATCTCCAATTGTTGATGTACGGCCTGCAGGAGCCTCTGAACATAGTAATTTTCTTTTTTTGAAAAATAAAAAATCACTTTTTCACATTCTCAATTTGTGCAGATTCTATTGTAAATTAATGTTTTCCGATCATTTTTTTGTGGTAATTACTTTCAAACTCCGCATAGTTTCTAAAGAACCAAATATATTTTCAATATGATATTACAATAGGCTAATTTCAAATTTGAGAAATCACTTTTTGACTCGCTTTGTTTTTGAAGATTTCATCATATATCCAATCATTTTTTTTAGTTATAACTACTAATTTCCATGTGGCTTTTAAAATCCTAATACATTAACATGATATTGAGACTTGTAAGTAATAAATCAAGCATTTAATTTATCACTTTTTAACGTGCTTTATTTGCGATAATTCTATAGCAAATGTAAATTATTTTTCTCTTTTTCTAAAGGAAGGTATTGCTATGCTTTTCATGTGATTTTGAAAATCCCATATTTGTACAAAAAGATTATTATAATAAGAGAGTTTCAAATCACACATGCATTTAGATGATTATTTATCGCTGCTCGTTATTCAAATTGATTACATTGTAAATTTAGACAGATCTTTTTCTTTTCCTTAAGATTTTGACTATCCGGCTTCTTTAACTATGATGTTAATACATCATGCAAGTGTCTAATCCTGCATTTAAATAATCACTTTTTGATACAATTTTGTGCACATTTCATAGTAAATCCAAATTATTTTAGCAGCCTTTTTCTTCAGACAGTGCCATGCATTTCCACATGGTATTTAGAATCCGGGTATTTTAATCTTATTGCAACATGTGAAATTTGAGAAAGAACGAAAACATGAATTTTTAAACAGCTTACGGTTTGTAATTTAGTTTCAACTTTTTTAAGTGATTATATTAGGAAAAACTAGAAAGAAAACTTTTTCCATTTAAAATACTTAAAAAATCTAAAAATTTAGAAAATAGAAATAATATCTGAAGTACCAAATAAATATTGAATCTAATTTTGTAGTATAATGGTTTTGCTTAAAGCTTATAAATTCATCATTATCAACAATTACCTTAATAAATATGCAAATTACTAGCAATAAAATAATACAAGTACTAGTATTATAAACACAAGATTGCATCAAATACTAGATAAATCTACATTTAAAAAAAGTATACTAGTGACCATACTTTAAACTTAATAACTAAGCATACTAGTAGTTAAATAACTATGATAAAAAATAAACACTAAAGGGAGGAAACTGATAACACTATTTTTAATCAATTAATGAAATTTTTTTTACTGTTAACCAATCATAAACAATTCAGAGACCCACAGAGAAGACAATAAGCAAAAATATTATGCATGTTATAACATCTTCTCATAATTTATAAGGAAAAAAATATAGCTATTGCCCCCAAAAGTGGAAAAATGATTTAGGCGATAGCTAAAATAAAAAATGGAGATAAACAAAAATATGTGAAACACAAATTGAATAAAAATTAGTTGACAGTTAAAAATTGTTCAAGGTAAAAGCTAGGGAATTTACAAAATTTCATGCCAACGTGAACTTTCATCTTTGAACAAACTAAACGAGCTCTCAAATATCATGACAGAGAACATCAAAAACTCCAACACTTATTTACTGCATAACACCTCATATCAGCCATTAATGTATTACAAGCTACCTGGATTTCTGGGAGAATTTCCACAGTAAAAATAAAATCTGTTTAATAACTCACTAAAGTTATTCTAAGCATACATGTATATTCTTTTTGAATGAATCGTAATTAAGATCATCTTACCTATATGTATGATCATCTTTAGGAGAACTGCAATTGTTTGCTATAATTTCTTTAGATGAATTACGGCTTTTCTTGGAATTCCCCATATGAAGAGTTGTCGTAGATAGATTGTCTTTAACACTATTATGGTTCAGTTTCCCACGACTTTGGGACGAGCCAGTCGTCACAAAGCAGGCAACACCATTGCTCTTAAGAGTTCCCTTTTCGCGTTCACAGCTCTCATCACTCTCATCAAAGTCATTAACACTAGTTTTTATGAGCTGTGTTTCCATATATTGATAATCGTGCTTGTCTACAGCCGTGGAGTTTGTATTGTGTTTCCGCGATTCACGACAGTCCAGTTCTGTGTATGATGCGATTTTACTATCCACGCTGTTTGTGAGAGATAGTGTTGTTAAACTGTTTTGACTATTTGAACTATTACTGATATTGTTTCCACTACAGATGCTTTTTCTTCCATGGCCATGATTTGCTGTTACACAATGGCCGTTAGAGATTATTTCCTCTGTTGCTTTGGAAGCTGCAAAAAATTAAATAAATAAATATTAATATTTAACTGTATAATTCACAATTGAAAAAAATACATTAGAGTGCCAATTGTAGAAATACATTAGAGAGCCGATTATAAAAATACATTAGAGTGCCGATTATCTGAAAGCCGATTTACTGGGCTTTTCAATTATACGAATGGTTCTCAGACCCTGCATTTTTCCGACCTACATCAAAAAAAAAAATAATGATGATGATAATAATCCTGAAAATGTTCATTTTCAGAATATCGGGGAGGGGTAAAAAAAAATGAAGTTTGTCTCTCAGTGACCTTGAAAATTATCTAACATTATTTCTGCCCAGTTTCAAATGAGTAAGTGGTTGCGAAGAAATTTTAAAAAAGTAAAACCTAAACACACCAGTTGTAATATGGTTTAATTAGGTACTACTACAATTGCAAAATTCTAGGCCTGGTAAAGGTGTGAAGGGAAATTACTTATAGATATTTTTATAGCCATTTTTAAAGTTTTTATTATCCAGATTGGGCATAGTCTTAATTGGTTCGTATAATCGGCACTCTACCGTAATGATAATTTTGCATCTTAGTCTTTTTTTCTTTTTCTCCCCAGAATTATTTTTTTTTTAAAAATGGCATTTTTTTACCTATCACTTTTAAAGCTTTCATACCATTTTTATTTTATAACTTTGGAGTAGAAAAAATACATTTTCGTTTTTTGCAGGTACTCTCCATGCCAATGAAAAAATAATTTCAAAATAGGAAAGAAAAAAAAACAACATAAGTTTGTATTGGGGATTCTTTTTTTCTTTTTAAATTTTATACAGTAAACTATTTTATAATATATTTCAAAGAGCAGTCTATAATTATCGCTAATTCTGAATTTTAAAATATATATTTGAAATTAACAGATTCTGTAAATAAAACATTTTTAGGATAATTTTTAATTTAAAAGTTTGTTTACCAATAAGATAAGGGTAACAATTTACGGTAAAAACAAAAAATTTCCAAAATTCATAACACTTAATGTGATTGCCTTTTTATTTTATTTAAAAACTTAAAAGAATTTTAATATTTACAGATACTAAAATGTGATCGATATTTTGAGCAAAATTTGGAATAACAATTTGTATTAAATTTAAAGTAATCTGCCATAAAATCACAATTAGATGTCAAGTTTATAATACAGTATAAAGATTTCATTAATGATAAAAATTAATAAATTTATCAATTTTCCATTTTTGCAGCAAAAATTTAAATATGATAACAAATTTAAATTTGGAGAAAACTTCCTATTTTACTGCAAACATCACAAAATTTTCTAAATCACAACTTCTAAACTAAGCTCATTAGCACAACAGTTCATGGGGGGCTCCCAAGGCCTACTGAACCCATCACATTTTTCATGACCTAAGGCACTGGGGCGGAAGAGTAGATGTTTCGGCTGAGTGGTCAGCTTAATGCGAAGCCCCAAGTGTTTAGTCACTACGGATGCTTGGTACTCGTTTTATCGAGCCACAGAAAGGTTGAGTCAACTTTGCTCGGTACTAGGATCAAACCCAGATCAATAACACGAGAGCGTAAAGCACTAAGATTCAGTTACTGGGCCTCACTCAGTGAATTCAAATCTATTAAATATTTAAATCTAATATTTATGTCTATATTCAATATAAAAGCATTTTGTGACAAAGTTACATACATAAATACATGGTAATAACTTAAAAATCTTATTAAATTGGAACATTAATTAAAGTACCTTTTTCTTTATCTTGCACACACGTGCTTGCTATGCTGGGTGCTTCAGCAGGCAATGCTTGTTGTATTAATTGAAAGTAAAATTCATTTTCTTTGGCAACTTCTTTTTGTTTTCTCTAAATAAAAAAAATCCCAAGACCATGTTTTAGAAAAAGAACCTTAATTATTTAAATACCATTTTTTAGCATTTAATTATAATACAACAATTTATTTCACTCCATTAAAAAGATGATAATCAAATATTTCTCTAAGTACCTATAATACCAAAAATGGTAAAAGAAAAATAAACACAAATAATGTCACGAAAACAGACATAATATAGTTTTGGTTCTATAATGAAGAACCTTTTTCAGCATCGAAACACAGAAGTGTTTTACTTGATTTGCAGTGATCAATATTGATGTTTAGGAATAGGTTGTTTTTTTTAATTCATAGAATATAAACTATAAAATGCTTGCTCGCACCATTTTTTTTTTCATAATGTTTATCTTATTTAATAAGTACAATTGCATTAATTTACAAATTTTTATAATCACCAATTAATTTTGAAAAAATTTTTTTCCTCATCTTAATGAGAAAAGTACAAAAAACATACTGCAACATTTGCCACTTTAGTCTCGGGAATTTCATTTAATACATGAAAACAATAATCTATGCTTTATGTTCAAGACTTTTAAATAATTCTTATGCATTCAAGACACTTGTGTTTTAAATCATCAATGCTATGTTTATAATTTCAGAAATTTTTTATATATATATATTATATAGATTAAAAATGCTAAAATTAGTACATGATAATAATGATTAAAGATTATATTAGCAATTTTTTTTTATAAAAAAAAAAAGATATTAAAAATATTTTACAAACAGTTGTTATATAATGCTGTAAAATCGTTGCAATTTGATAAAATCAGCTTAAAACTGAAAGTTATTGTGTTTGCAAGTAAGAAAATCTTTAAAGTTTGCAAAAGCTCTCTTCATCCATATATGCATCTTGATGCTTAACATCTAACTTAAAATGATATAAATCATTTCCTTAATGATATGCTCTTATTTTCTAATGTACTTATGCGAATACAAAAAATAAAAAATATTTATAAAATTTGCAGTGATGTTAATTTTTAAAATAATTAATCTATTCATTTTTTCAAACAATTCTTAGCTGGGGAAGCAAATGCAAAAGACACTTAGCCTTAATAAGCTATATAAGAGAATAAGAAGAAAAAAAACAAGTTTAATCCTTTGGTTATGATTAAGGCCCGGATTTTGATGACATTTGCATTTTTGGATATTTTTTGTCCTTTAGAGCACTTTTTTAGAATTATAGGCCTTTTTTCTTAAATTTTGGGGTGTATTTTGCATTTGAAAGCATTTTTTAAGTTTTTTGTTAATTTTTTCCAATTTTTATTACTTTTTGGGGCATTTTTATTACATGAAATGCAAGATTTGTCTTATCATTTTACATTTCATATTTCAACTCTCAATACCACCTGCATGTCATTATGTTTTTCCATTATGTTATTGATTGATATAAAATCTTTAGAATTCTTTGTTACAGCTTTCCTTTTTTTTTGTTGCTGTTATTTTAGGATATAAAACATATTTTTCAAATTTTAATGAACGTAGAACAAGTATTGCATTGCTTAATATTTTTTGAAATGACTCATAATAATTTTAAAGAGTAAAACATTGTTTTAGTTAAATATTTTTACTTTATTTAAGTCATGTCATAAGGCATTTTTAGCACTATTTTCGCATTTTTAAGGGCATTTTTTGCACTTTTTAAGGGCATTTTTTGCACTTTTTGAGGGCATCTTTTGCACTTTTTAAGGGCATTAGTTGAGATTTTTTAGGTCATCAAAATCCGGGCTCTAGTTATGATGCTTAGTATGCTGAAGCCTGTCATTCTGTTCTACTTGCTCTACCATGAGTAAATAAGAGGTAGATGAATGATCAGAAAAAAATTGCCTCAAAACATTCTCCAACAATCAAATTTGAAGAGATTTTCTTAAAATAAAATCATGATACTCACAAGCCTCATTCTGTATCCAACGTAACTTTTGAAACCAAATCCAAGAGTAACAACTGGATACCCTATGCTAAAATTAAAAAATTACGCATTATGAATGCTACATTAATTATAAAAATAAATGAATACGTAAAAACATAAGAATACAATTGAAAAAGAAATTAAGTTTTTACCAGTGTGCTGCAAACGGCCTACAAAGATCTAAATGAAATGGCAAATTTTTAAGTTCTTTGAGCCGCACTGAAGCTTCAATATATACAAAAAGTAACCATAGAGAGATGGTAGGAAGACAAATTCCCCTCTCTAAAAAAAATAAATAGTTAAAATTAGATCATGAAATACACGCACAAAATAAAATTGGTTTAAAAAAAAGATACTAAAAACAAAAATTCAAAAACTGATAAAACAATTTAACATTCTTAAATAAATAATCACAAGAAACTAAAACGATAAGATATTTAAAAAAATTCATTCGCTTCAAAACTATACGGACTGGATATAGCAGTCAACAAGTTTCAAGAGCTCAAAATTAAGAGCAAATTTTTCACAACTCACCAGAGGTGAATGAGAAGAAAAAAGAGTGATATGAAACAAATGTTAAGTTGCCGATGAAGAATGGAAAATAAAAGGTGGGAAACAAACCTAGAAAAACCAATGTGGCTAAGAGGGACAAATCAGGGTGATTTATCACCAGGGGGAGTATTACCATTAGTCAGGGCCTGTATATTTTTGAAGCAAATGAAGTTTTTTAATCAATCAATTTAACACTATATTTCAGAATGATGCTCTTAGGCTTCCCGCAACCTAGGAACTAGCAGCTTTTTCGTCCCTCAATGAAATAGATATCCCACAAAAACAAATTGATAATTTGTAAGCTACAAATCGATTCTGGTTGCCCCCTTTCACATGGTGGATGCTAGAGGACGGGGGTTTGAAAGACGAGAGGACCACTCGTCTGGTCAGCAGAGGGGGAGATAAGGAGTGATAGATTTATGAGGAATTAGAATGGATAACGCCTTATCTTGACAATTTGTTCTTGTGGAATGAAATATTTATTTCAATTTGTTTTTGTGGGATATTTATTTCATTGCGAAACGAAGAAGGTTGGTTGCGCTCAGCATTATACTTGCAAAATAAACGTAGAGAATTAAAATACTAATTGCATAAAATTCCTGTAAAGAAAACATAGTGAAAACAAATATTTATAATGAATAAATGAAAAAGTAACATTAAACAATATAACATTCTGTTTGAGAGAGATGCAGAGCTATTTTTAGCATATTTAAAAATGCCTCTAATTCAAAATTTAAAACTTAGTTTTGCTTATTAAATCAAAAAATAATGAATTAAGTCGAACTATCTTATAACAAGTGAGAAGTGACCGTCATATTTGCTTATTTTTTGCTAAGTGCTGGTAAAAAACAGAACCATGATAAAAAAAAAAAAAATTGCAAAAGTTCATAACTACCAACTTCATTTTTTATTTCTATACAGTGTAAAAGTGTTAATTTGCTTTGAAAAGTTTGGTGACAAACTACACTTCAAATTGTTCTCTATTTTTTCCACTTAGATATTTTGTGATTCTGGATAAGAGTACAATGCACATAAACATTGCATCATGGCTAATGTCAAAGATACTGTAAACATATTATGAGAAAAAAATAATTAAATGCTTACTTTAATCTGTACTTTCAATTTCAAGCATCAAAAGATTTTTAAAAATGTAATTTCAAATGTGTTGGAATTTAACAAATACCAAGAAAGAAAGTAATTTCGTTAGCTAAAATTAATTAATGCAGCAATAATAAATTTTAAAACTAATGCAGTAATTTATTTAAAATAAATTTTAAAACCAAGAAAAGAAATAATAAAAGTATCAATAATTGAAAACAGTGTTTTTAAACTTTTAAAATGAATACATATGTATAAAAAATCAGTTGTAAATAATCAATGATTTAAAAAAAGAAACTTTTAAATCAACAAACCCTGCGACAGACCAATGAAAACTCGGGATCATATCACTGACTCCATAAAAATAAAATGCATACATATTCAGATTAACAAAATTATAGTCATTAAGAAGGGTTTTACCTGTGTGCCACACATACTGAACCCAAACGTATGTGCTTGCTGCAAAAAACAGCCAATGAACAGGGATAAAAAGAAAACAAATCATGTCTGAGGTGAATGCAATAAAAACAAAGAAAACTGAAAAAGCCTGAAAAGAAAAAAAAAGAATTTATATAATTTGTACTGTTATTAATTTCACATTTAAGAAAATCAGAATTTTGAAAACATTTAATACAGATATATTAATACAAAACATCATTTAATCAAATAGAACAAATTAGTAAAGAGGTAAAAAATTTTCCTTTATGAAGAAAACAAAAATCAGTGTTCCCCATAAGCGTTTTTAGAAGGGCGACCTGCCCTATGATCCTTGTAAATGCGTCCTCTGCACTTATTGTAGAAATTACCCCTTAAAAGCATTGTCTTTTTACTCATATTCCATTTTCTTTAAAAAATAACTCACTGTCTAAATAATAATTACACACTGGTAAAATTATCTGTGTTAATAAGTATTCAGTTCTGATTACTATTAAAAATATTAATTTTGTTACATTTTTTTCAACTGGTTAAATTTTTATAAGTTTCTCTTTTTTTTTCAGGGAGGCATAATAATGAATTTTTTAAGTGATTCTAAATTTTAAAATTATTTTTTCCTTTCTTTCTTCTTTTTTTTAAAAAAAAGGTATTTTACTTAAAAAAGGTTTTTTTTAAATTTTTTTTTTTTAAAAAGCAATGTTTTTTTAAATGTTCATTTTTTCCTAATTTTCAGTTTAAATTATAGAAAAAAGCTTTCAAGTTCTTTATTAATTAACATTTTTTTGAAAAAATTTATGCTCAGAGATTGTATTTCAGCATGCCTTTAACTTTTTTTTTATATAAACTACAATTTTATTTATTTTCTGGATAATGTGTGTGAATTACTTTTTTGAAATACATACATAAAATAAGATAGTAATTTAAAAATTATTGAGAATCAAATCCAGTATTACAGAATATTACACAATTTTATAAATGTATTAAGTGAGTGCCTTTTCAGAATTCAAAATGCTCTTTTCTGCGAGGAAGCACTCTGCACTTTTTTATTCCTAGGGAGAACTCTGCAAAAACTAAATAATTGCATGACTTGAAAACTTTATCCTTTTCAAATAAAAATGCCATAATTTGTTTTCTTCTAATTCGACCATCGCCAATAGCATTGTGCAGCTGTAGTGCGACGTAAATTAATAACAACAACATCTAATTGATTTCAAACAAAACACTTATTTGATTCCTTAAAAAAAAAAAAAAAAAAAAAAAAAACAAACACTTGAATTATAAGTACATTAAATATTTCAAATTTTGGGAGGTAGAAATTAACACAGTTGGAAAAAGTTAAAGAAAATTAAAAAAAATTTACTTGCAATAAAAAAAAAAACATTTTCTTTCAAAATAAAATTAAAATAACTTGTAATTTAAATTTTTCAAACTGAAAATATTATACTAACTTCCACTGAATAATTTTTAAATTTTTAAGATAAATTTTTAACACAAAGAAAAAAAGCTCAGCCATATAACGAATTGTACTTTGATGCAGCCTCTGAAAGCCATAAGTCACCCTGCAGCTTTTGTCAGAAAAAAAGCTCTCTAAACTTAAATTAACTTAAAGCAGGATATACCTATAACTAAATAAAAATTACAATTTATTGAGTCATCATAAAAGTTAATAGTTTTAAGTTTTTATTTACCACAAAAAAATTTTAAAAAATTGTTCTGCCTCGGTACTTATTTCAGTGAATAATTAATTTTACATTTTAGCATATTCCAAATTTTTTTGTGAGTAAGTATTATTTCAGATAAAATACATTTTTAAACAAAAAAATCATACTACAATTAAAAAATCATATACCTAATTTTAGGCTTCAAAAAGGATAAAAGATCCAAATTTGAAAATAAATTATACCATGTTCCTCATTGAAAACATGAAATATTATAGAAATAATTTATTTGAGGTAAATTACAGAAATACATTTTTGTAAAAGTAAAAAATAAGTTTAAAATTTTCAATTATCTATTATTATTTTTTACTAGTTTTGTTATTAGGATTTTTTTAGAAACATAAATGTTACATCACCAGTCTATTAAAAAAAAGTCAGTATGATGTAATGCAATTACATCACCAGTCTATTAAAAAAAAGCCAATATGATGTAATGCATGTATTACTCAAATCCATCCATTTTTCCAATCTCATACATTCTGGGTATTATTATTAACTTTATTTTATTCATTCATTCAGTTATTATTATTTGTTTTTTCGGAAGAAAAATATTGTGTCGATATAAGATTTAGTATTTTGGTGACACTTAAGAGTGGGAGAAACTGTTCTTGGCAAATTGTGTTTAACACTCAAAATTTAGAGAAAAGTGAGCTCAAGTTCAGGTAAACCCTAAAATAAACCACAAAATTTCAAATACTGAAGAAAAAAAATAATTCAAAAAGCAAACAAACGTCAGGATTACTCAGAATAACACAGCGGGAAAAGTAATAATGCAATAATTTACGTTTATTTTGAAATATTTGAAAACATAATTCTGATAATCTTTTCAAACTCCTTTCTTCAACATTTAAAACTTCACTGTTTACTCGTAACTGTAACTTGATATCACTTTTCTTTTGGAATAATTATATAAAAAGGTCAGGATTACTCAGAATAACACAGTGGGAAAAGCAATAATGCAATAATTTACATTTATTTTGAAATATTTGGAAGCATAATTTTGATAATCTTTTCAAACTCCTTTCTTCAGCATTTAAAACTTCACTTTTTACTTGTAACTATAACTTGAACTCACTTTTCTCTAACACTTTAATTTAAAGATTTTTGAATTGTCATGAAAAGTTTCTCCCTGGATAAATCATAGACTAAGATCTTTCAGATCTGAGATAATTTTTAAAATTTTTAAAGAAAAAATTACTTTTTTATTAAAAATATATAAAATTTCTTACCAGCCCCTGGTATTTAAAAGAATCGTACACACTGCGTAGCAAAAGCCAAAAGGGCCACAGGTACTCAAAGCGAAACTCCAGAATGAAGTCAGCCAACAGCACCAAGGCCCAGACAACTAAGAATTTCACATACAGAAAAGTACTGAAAAATAGAAAAATAAAAGTATTATAATCTTTGATATTAATACATACATATAATCAACAAAACTGAAAGAAACAAAAATGAAAATTTCAGATGCATAGAAAACCAGTCTTTTTTCCATCTAAGCAATTCCAATTGTTGAGTTAGAGTAGCCTTTCAATAAGTTGCTGAGTTTTCAAAAAGCTACACTGAAGTAAAACCAATGGAAGAAAACTGATTTTTGTATTTGAAATCAGTTTATCAAAGACAGCCAAAATTAAGAAAATAAATTAATAAGTTAGTATTAATAATACTTAAGAAGTCTTATAAGTTTTGGCTATTATTTTTTTATTTTTTTAATTCAGTAATATTTTTTAATTTAGATATAATACTGAATCTTTAAAAGTAGAAATGACCAATGACAAAAATTAACCTTTAATGTAACTAAAAAGAAGCTACTACAGAGAACTTATTTACAAAAATTAGCCTATTTTTATTTATTTAATTTAGCTAAACGTATTTTATTTGGAACAAAATCTCTGGCATAATCTAGTAAGGAGAGGGGAGAACAAAAAAATAAAACTATGATTTATGTCTTTATTAATCATAGATTATAACTGAACATTCATTACCGACTTTTGACAATTTTGCGAAGTCGAAATGTAATCGCGACACATAAAAAATTTTCAAATATTGTTATATTCTAATTTTTTTTCTTAATTTATCTATATTTTAATAAGAATTTAAAATTGCTTCTTGCAAGATTCACTGAAACGTTCATTCACTAATTGACATTAATCGAACAAAATAACAAAATTCAATTGTAAGCTAAAAATTGAGAAAATTATATTCAATATAAGAAAAAGTCATTAACTTATATTGTCGTACCAAATTAGGAAAAGAAATTAATCCAGCAACATATATTGTGTTTATTAACTACCTTTATACACGAATCCCAAGCACACTTAATTAGAAAATTCACTTCCTTAATTCGTTTGAGGATTCAACCTATTTCAAACAAATGATTACTATGATTCTTATTTCTCAAACGGAAGATAAGTCTACTGAAATTCATCCGAAGGAATAGGATTGAAATTTCTTTTACGTAGTCGCATGAAAAGCACTAGGATTTATCAAGACTACTTATCATTCTTATAAATGCTTATAAATGCATAATATACTTATAAATGCAGAACTTGATGGATTAGAAAAATAAAACGAATCAACGTTGTACGAAAGCCGTTATTACGAAATGGTAGCAATTACTCAGGGCAATCTCAAAACACGAAATCGAAATAGCATGAAAATAATAAAAGTCAATTAAGTTATAAATTAAGAAAATTGTACTCAATCGCGAAAAGGTAATTCACTTATGTTGCTATCGCAATAAAGAAGAACTATAATTAGACGACGTAAATTGTGTTTATTAACACAAAACATACCATAAACGGTCAAAAGATCGATTATATTCTGTATTGTAAAAAGTTGGTATGTTTAGTGTTAAACTAATATTAACAGGGTACGTAGCCAAATCTTTCAACAAAAAATAAGCACCTTTTAAGTACTTTTTAAGCACTGAAAAAATATTTTTAAGCATTATATACATTAACAAAATGCAAAATAATTTTCATTTACATGATCATGATAAAATAATTAATTTCTGACAAAGAACTCGCTTCTTGATTATTAGCCACCATAAAGAGATCGAGAGTTTTTTCGGCTTGATTTCAGAGGGTGGAAACTGAAGCCTGAAATTGAGGGTATCTTGCAAAATGCAACAGAGTTACACACAAGAGTGCAAGAATCTCTACGAACCCAGCTCAGTAGCTGTATACGCACATGCGGACCCGCAAGTAAAACGTGTAAAATGATTGGCGGTTTCATACACTACGGATCGACGGCACGCCGAAATACACTGTGAAAACGTTGAATAGAACAATGTGAAAACCACAATTTTGCATAAAACGTGGAGAAGAAAAAAAAATCTCATTTTCGAAAAGGAAAATTTAAAGTATTTCTTAAAAAAATATAGAATAAAAAAAAGGCACCTTTAAAAGCTTTTAAAAAACGAAAATTGAAAACAAGTCTTTAAGCAATTTTTAAAAGCGCTACGCACCATGATTAATTACCTATATACAGGGTGCGTAGCCAAATTATTCAACAAAAAATAAGCACCTTTTGAGCACTTTTCAAACACTGAAAAAATATTTTTAAGTACTTTAAAAAATATCATAATTAGGCAGGGTTGGTAAGTTTTTGATAATTGACGGTTTTATCTGGTTCAAAAAAAAAAATTTTTTTTTGGCATTGTTTTTGACAATTGTCAAAATTTTTTGAATAATGTAAATCGAATGGCGTTTTCGAAACGAAAACGTTGAATAGAACAATGTGAACAGTGTCTTTCTGCATAATTCGTAGCAAAAATCAACGCGGTAGAGGAAAAATATCATTTTGGAAAAGGGAAAATTAAGCANAGTATTTCTTAAAAAAATATAGAATAAAAAAAAGGCACCTTTAAAAGCTTTTAAAAAACGAAAATTGAAAACAAGTCTTTAAGCAATTTTTAAAAGCGCTACGCACCATGATTAATTACCTATATACAGGGTGCGTAGCCAAATTATTCAACAAAAAATAAGCACCTTTTAAGCACTTTTCAAACACTGAAAAAATATTTTTAAGTACTTTAAAAAATATCATAATTAGGCAGGGTTGGTAAGTTTTTGATAATTGACGGTTTTATCTGGTTCAAAAAAAAAATTTTTTTTTTGGCATTGTTTTGACAATTGTCAAAATTTTTGAATCATGTAAATCGAATGGCGTTTTCGAAACGAAAACGTTGAATAGAACAATGTGAACAGCGTCTTTCTGCATAATTCGTAGCGAAAATCAACGTGGTAGAGGAAAAATATCATTTTGGAAAAGGGAAAATTAAGCACTTTTTAAAAACACCCAATGAAAAAAGCACCTTTAAGGGCTTTTAAAAAACAAAATTCGAAAATAAGCACCTTTAAGAACTTTGTAAAAACGCTACGCACCCTGAATACATAAATCGACGAATCCTTAACACACTTTACGAAAAAATACACTTCCTAATTTATTTGAGGATACAATTCATAATGATTCTTACTTTTCAAACAGAGGATAAGCCTGATGAAATTCACCAGAAGAAATAGGATTGAAAATTTTTTTACGTTGTCGTCTGAAAAGTACTCTTCTCGACCGTTCTGAGCTACTTTTCATTCTAGCATAAATGAAGTACTATTATGATAATTAGAAAAGAAAACAAGTCAGAGTTGTACTGTAGCTATCACGAAATGGTAGCGATTTTTCACGGAAAATATTAATCTCAAAACCAGAAATCGAAATAACATGAAAATAATAAAATTCAATTAAGTTATAAATTAAGAGAATTACAATCAATCTAGGAAAAGTAATTCACTTATGTCGTTTAGGTTGCTAGGCAATCGAAAAAAAATTAATACTTTTCAAAAGCACTTCATTGGATCGAAAAAAATTGAATTTATTTTACATTTAGGGAAGCAATCGATCGTTATAACTTACGATGATAGATCAAGATAAATCATATCAAAGAATATAAGTCGGACGTGCAAAATAGACATAAAAAAATTCTGTAATTGGAAGGAATAAAACGTTTAATAAATGCAGAATTTCTTTCATCATAATAATTCTGATAGTTGCTTAATTAGAGCATTATTCAACAATAACGTTAAAATAAAAATCGGTATTGGAATAATTATATAAAAACTCCAATTCAAAATGAAAATAGGAAAAACTCAAAATACTTTTTCTAAATTATTTAGAAAATAAGCTATTCTCCATTTAAAAGGTTTTTTCTTTAAATAAAAATCTGGAAGTTTGTATTATCAGAGAGTTAAGAAGATAATTGTATTAATTTATGAGTTACTCAAACCATTAGAATTAATCTATTAAATCAAAAATAAATTCTTGACTATTTAAGTGAAAAGAATTGCATTTTGTTCACCACGTTGCATCACATTCTGCACAAAATCTGAAAAGTTTTGCTTGGGTTCAAAGAGAGAGGCAACGCTGCAGTGTTATATTATGCTGCTAAGCTATGCTCACTTGTGCATTCTGTTATAAACCTAAAACTTCTTGACTCAACAAACCTGGCAGAAAGGACCTAATTCTACGATAATTTTTGGATTCAGGATATTATGAGTTGATTTTTCAAATTCATAAAAAGAACATTTCAAAAAAAAAAAAAAAAAAAAAAANAGAGAGAGAGAGAAGATTTTACAAAAAACCTTGAATAACTCCTGGTAATCATAAAAACCTCAAGTTATATAACAAATTAAAATAGATTCAACCAAAATAAGACGAAGGATATACTTTGTGTAACGTAGACTAAAACACAAAATAACTAAGAAGAGGGGGGAAATGAGATTAAAGCACAAATTAAAGTAAAGAAATGAATATACTACATTTTCGGTAATCAAAATAAGAATATTTCTCAATGTTTAAGCACAATCGAAAAGAAAAATGCTTAATTTACGTTTTTTACCATAATCAAGAAAGATTTAGTGAACATTTTTACATTTGTTCACGTACCTAAATTCTGCACAAGATCTGCATAGAACCAATGTAATTCTGCAGTAACTACGCTTTGCAAAACGTACGTACTTGTGGGTCTCTACATTAAAGTGCTAAATCTCTCTAATGTTTGAATAGTCTAATGATGTATTTCACATACATTTAAATAAGCATTATTTGTCTAAATAAAAATTATATTAAATTTATATCAAAACAGAGAAAAATTTACTGAAAGCATCGATAAATTTAATGTAACCATTTATAATATTTACTGTTTCCTAAAAATTAACATATTTAAATAAACAGAAAGAATAAAAAAGCTGTTTTGACTTAACTATCACAAACTGCCTTCACTTATTTCTAAGTGTTAATCATATTAAACTGTATTGGGCATAAACCAACGATGAGAAAAATATTCAAAGGACAAAATAAAGCTTTCAATCAATACA